TTTTCCAGGATTTGAGTCGTTTTGTCTCTCTTACTGGACACACAGGGTTGATTACATTGCTTAAAACTTCGGGATGGGAATGAAGAACCAGTCCAAGTGCTCATCAATTCCTATCAATTCCTTTATTCATACATGTTTTTCTGACAGGTGCGCATGGCAAAACAATATTATCAAATTCATGGGTCTACAATTGTGGAAACTTAGAAAAAATAAATAAGGGTGGAAACACCAGAAATATGCTGAAACATCTTTCTGCACAATATGGGCTTAAATGTAAGAAATGCCATGTATTTGACACTCAACACACAAGTGCCCTTGCCTCCCAACCGAGCACCATGTATGTTTCTGAGGTTGAATATCTTAGATAATACATAGGTTTATATATTATAATGTTTTTTCTTTTACTTAGAAAACCTAAATGAAAATAAATGTTGTACAAATATTCTCTCATTTCATCTACTGTACACTGTGTTCAGACTGAGATAATAAAACAACTGTATTGACTCTGAAAACCTGTAGGCCTACTTTCTTTTCTTTCTTTTTTTTTTTTTTTTGCAGAAATTTGATTAGGAATCAATAAGGGAATTGACAAATAATAGGACCAATAAACTGAATTGGCGTTGTTACTGATAATATCTGATATATTCCCATCCTTATTCAAACTGCCCTTTTAAAAATGTTGACTCAATTTATGAAAGTAGCCCACAAAGACAACTTGTTGTGTATTTGGACCTGCATAGTTGGATTCGTGGTTGTACGTAAGGGGTAGGTGGATGAAGAAATTAATTTATTAAACATGACTAAAATTCGGTTGGTGACTTGAGTTTCACAGACCTACTTTGTATATTGTTTTTAATTTGTTTTTTGGTTGTAGTGGCATATAGTAGTATAGAATTAAAGACTATCTTTGGACGAAAGGGTTGAGCTAACTCTAACACTATCTTCTAGCTTGGTTAGCATGGTGCATATTAATACAAAGTAGCTTTGTAAGTAGCTTTGAAAGTAAGTAGCTGAAGAAGACTTTTTAGACAGCCAGAAGGTTACAGTTAACTTTCATGAACTGAAAACACACTAAAGTAGCAACACTGTCAGCTATGCCTGTATCTGGGGTTACACAGCGGTTACGTTACCTAACCAACATTGTAGCCGTGGTAGCAACTTGTCAATAGATGGCCCCCACCTGTCAAAACTGAAAACAGCCATGCTCCTAATTTTGAAACTTAAAGCCTTGATAACATATAAACTTCACCCCCTTACTATTTTAATGAAGTAGAAATTAGATAAAGAGGCCAAAACTGTTTTTTTTTGTACCAGGCTGTAAACATGTTTATTTCTGCTGTAAAGTTGGGCATTTAAACAAAGGGGTCTGTGGGGATTGACTGGCTTTTGGAGCCAGCCTCAAGTGGCCATTTGAGGAACTGCAGTTTCTGGCCCTTCTGCGTTTGCTTCATTTTTCAGCCTTGGGGGTTGCTGCTTGATCCACAAGAATGGGGACATTGTAAAGAGAGGTTGACTGGGAGAGAAAAAATATTTTTAATGCTCTGAACACTGTCAGTGACATTCCATTTATGTTTATTGTATTGAGGGATAAAAAGATATTTAAAAAACTGGACAACTGACATAATCTATCTGCATGACTAGAAAGCACCAGATGAGGAGAGAAAATATTTTTTTGTTACTTGCGTAAAGCGACCTTTAAGTGTCATGTAATGCTGTCCCTCCCTCTAACTACCTTTGAGCGAGACAGAGCTACGTTGGCCGTGAGCACACCTCTGCACCTGGCTACCAAGTGTCAGTGTGTGTAACTGTGTGAGAGTAAAGCAGAGTGTTGCAGAAAAATAGAGCTAAAAAACATCAATTGTCAAATGGAAAGTATAGCCTATTACCCAGAGACAGACATGCCATAATGATAATAATGATAATAATCATGATGACATGAGTGGAGACACAGAGAGAAAAGAGCCGAATAAGGCCAAAAAGGGATAAGGAGATTACTGTAGTCTGACTGTGGTGGCTGTTTGTGTGTTTGTGCACTGGAGAGAGAGAGTTAGAGAAAGAGAGAGAGGGGGAGGGAGGGAGTGGTTGGGACACTCCAATTTAGTTAATTTGGTGTCTTGTCTAAAAGCAGCCAGTCTGAAACACAGTGAATCACTGAGTCTGCAGAGTCTGACTCAAAACCACCTGCCCGGTCTGTTGTTTGGTTGTTGTTGACGTGACAGTGGGTACAAGTTAGTGGTTGGACACACAGGTTCACTCTGTCCTTTTTTGATTGAAATTACAGGACTCTGTTCTGGTAAAACTATAAAAAAAAACATTTGACTCAATGGGAGGAACAGGAATTAAATGTTTTAGCATGGTGTTTGGGAGACAAGTAAATATAACACTGATATCAATATGATTCTCCCAAACAAGATGCTGTCACGTCACTTGTTTTGAAAACGATCTTAAACTTTGATGGACAACTTGGTTAAAAGATTGGTTTCTAAATTTAGTTTATCTCATCTGTCTTATTACCTCTACCAAGGAGATATGTTTTTCAGTGCTGTTTGTCTGTCTGTGAGCAGAATTACAGAAAAACTATTGGCCTGATTTTTATGAAACTTGGTGGAAAGGTGAAGCATGGCTAAAGGAAGAAGCCATTCAATTTTAGAGTAGATCTGAATTGCAGGGTGGATTCACAAATTATATTTCACTTTCATTTCATTTTTCTAAAGTGTGTTTAACACACCTGAGAAAACAGCCAGCAACAAAGCAACACCTCTTGCATTTTTTAGGACACGCCCTCCTGGAAATGTGCGCTCCCCCTTTTCTCGTCCGCAAGGAAACAAATGCACAGAGAGCTTGAAAATGGATGCCGAGAGATTTAACTCGGTTTCATCAAACATGTGCTCAGTCCACAAGATTGTGGAAATGAAGGACTTACAGCGACTTTGTTTAAAACTTTTAACGCAGTCGGACTATGTTTACGAGCACAAGAGATCAGCGAACCACCGAAGGTCCGCCCTGCAGATTTACTATTGGTTCTGCAACGTAGGGAGTTTTTTTAAACTCTGAAATTGTATCCCCCCATCTAAACACAAAATCAGGGAGAAAGACATCAGTGTTTAGTTAAACAAAGCGTCTAAAGACTGACTTGTGAGTCTAGAGCTTTGGTAACACTGATGACCAAGTTCCCACAGTGTGAAGGCTGCTATGAGTCATATCTACAAACCAGCCAATCATAATACGACATGAAATGATGCACAACACACCTGCTGGTGGGTCATTTTAGAAAAAACTCACACAAAACAAAGTGATGGAGGTAGAACAGAAGAACAGCACCATGGCCAAATTCTGTGTGTTGTTTTGCTCTATTTTGAAAGCATGAGAGCACAGATTGATAATGCAAGCTGATGTAGCAACATCATAGCAGTACAGTTCACCCCACATTTAACACACAATCGGACAACCTCAACAACCATGGAAGATTTTAATTAGACTCATTTCACACACTGTAACATGCAATAAACATACAGTACATGATCGTTGTTATAAGCCATCTTTTCGGATTGATTGTTTGTAAGTCTGAAAGAGCCATAAATACTCCTTAAAAAAATACAAAAAAGAATAGGAGATAAATAAATGTGCAAAGAAGATGACATTTCATGTGTCAGCATCTCTGCACTGTAGTCTATAGTCATAGACCAGGATAGGGATGAAACAGTTACCAGTTTGACAATAAACAATGTTAAAATTCCAGACGGTTAGTATTACCATTTCAAATTTTAATCATCATTGAAACCATGTTTGATTACTTTGAAAGACTTACTGTCCAGAGTTGACCAGAGTTAGCAGCATGCAGCACATATGCAGCATGCAACATCAGTTTGTTTTGCTGTTGCCTTGCTTACAGAGTGGGCGTGCAGCAAAAAAAAAAAAAAAAAGTATTCAACCTTCTGCCACTCCAGAAAGCAGCGGCCCTCGCTGTTGACTTTACACTTTTTTGCTATGGCCATGTCTTCTACCTCGCAGGAAATGCCTGCTGTTAGGCAACCATTCGTTTGCTTGTTAACATCCGTTTATGAAAACACATTAGTTTCGTCTGCATAGTTCCTACTTTGTTCATGTCTACAAACTGTGTGATAGTCCTGCATTGTGAGGTGAATGAAAAAAATGTAAAGTGATCCAACATGATTAACTGATATGTGCAGTTGGCCACATTTAGTATAATTCATACAACAAGCAGGGGGCTGTTTAAAAATTGGTCCATGGGCCATGATTGGCCCCCAAGCCAGATTTTGCACATGCCTGATCTACAGTGACACAGATGCTTGAGCAAGAACTTCAAAGACTGTCCTTTAACGTTAATGCACATTTGCAATGCATATAGTTTTTATGTGTTACCATACCATAAGGTATTGGCCATGCAATTACTTTAATGTTTATATAAACAAAAAAAATATGCTTATTTTGCTTGTGGCTTTCAATATAAAACTTGGTGAAATCATTTCAGTGTGTTTAAAAGTACTTTTTTTGTCATTCATGATTTATTATAAAAAGTATGCAAACCACATTAAACTTGTAATGTATATACACTGCGGGAATAAAAGCCCAGTTACACACACTAAAATATCAAATTTAAAATATTTAAATTTAAGGCAAATTAAGCTAAGACAGATTCAAGAGTTCATAGAAACAAAGGAAAATCCACCTTTTGAAAACTGTTGCCAGAGCTGGACTCCCTGCTGTTGTCTCACTGCTCCATCTGCTGGTCAGAGCAGGAGGGTACGCAGGCCTTGCTGTATGGAACATGGAATTTTACATTCACACACTCAGTCCTCCATTCCTGCTTGTCCTTGTTGTGCCTTTGCTGTCCTCTCTTCACCTTCCCTTTCTGTCCTCCTGTTTATTCTCTATGTAAATGCAGGTTCATTAAGGTGGTTTGATCAGTGCTGTGAGACAAATAGTCTTCACTCTGTTCTTCAAGGTTCACTAATCTAACAACTGGTATCTTCTTGCAGTCACAGATGAGGATACCGTTAAGAGGTACTATGCCAAGTTTGAGGAGAAGTTCTTCCAGACATGTGAAAAAGAACTGGCCAAGATCAACACCTTCTACTCTGGTAATGATGACAACTACTGTCTCTGCTTTACGCACACACATTCATATACTTTAAAGCTAGAAATCTCTCATTTAGATATAGCTCTGGCAGTTTGTTTTGCTTATTATGCTGCAGAGGCTTTCTATCTTTAAAATCATCCTCATCTCTTTCCCTCTCTTCCCTCCAGAAAAGCTGGCTGAGGCTCAGCGGCGATTCGCCACGCTGCAGAACGAGCTGCAGTCATCATTGGATGCTCAGAGGGAGAGCTGGGCTAACGGGCGGGGCCTGAGGAGGAGGAAGACGGTGTTCGCCCTGTCGCAGCAAGAGCGATGCAAACATAGAAACATAAAGGACCTGCAGTTGGCCTTCTCCGAGTTCTACCTCAGCCTCATACTGCTGCAGAACTATCAGGTGCATATTTACACATGCAGACTAAAGACATTTGAAGAAACAGAGTTAGACTTCAGGCTAATCTTCATTTGTTGTCCCTAGCAAGATGTTTAAAAAGCACCCTAAAAAGGTAAAATTTGTTTTATAAAGTTCATATAATACAGTCCCTGACAAAAGTCTTGTCGCTTATCCTAGTTGTAGGAACAACAAATAATAACCTGACTTGTAGTTGATCAATTGGGATCAGAAATAGCTTATATGAAAGGCAAAGGCCTTTAGATTATGCTTATTATACCAAAATAAAGTTGTGTATCATTCATTGAGTTTTATCATTTAATTAGGACAGAAAGGTCAGATCTTGCTTGGACAAAAGTCTTGTCGTGTCTTTAAACGATTCAACCAATCACAGATTAGAGCTCCACCTGTGACAAATACTGTAATTAACACATTCCCAGGTGTGTATAAAAAGAACCCCAGCACACCAGACCTTCATGTGAAGTGCAACCTGACCGCTGACAACATGCCAAAGATTCAACCACAGACCAAAGTGCTGATCATCAAGAGCCTGAAGACCAAGTCTGCTGCTGAGTTGGCAGACATCTTCAGTGTATCCAAACGTCAAGTGGAGAGGATAAAAAAAAGATTTGAAGAAACTGGTGACGTTCATGACAAGCCCAGGTCAGGCAGACCCCATAAGACAACTGTTAGAGAGGACCGTTTGTTGCTTCGGCAGTCCAGGGCCAGCCCTTTTTCAACTGCAGCAGAGTTACATCAGAACTGGTCACCAGAAACCCCTGTATTTACCAGAACAGTTTGTCGAATTCTCTCACGCAATGGTCTCCATGGCCGAATTACTGCTCACAAACCAGCATTAAACAGAAGACAACAAAAGAATCATGTTGCATTTGCCAAGGCCCACAGCTTGCAGAAAGGATGGACAGTGGAAAAGTGGCAGAAGGTTGATTTTTCTGATGAATCATCCATTGAACTGCATCCCAATCGCCGCAAATACTGCAGAAGACCTGTTGGAACCCGCATGGACCCAAGATTCACCCAGAAAACAGTCAAGTTTGGTGGAGGAAAAATCATGGTTTGGGGTTACATCCAGTATGGGGGTGTGCGAGAGACCTGCAGAGTGGATGGCAACATCAACAGCCTGAAGTATCAAGAGGTTCTCGCTGCCCATTACATTCCAAACCACAAGAGAGGGCAAATTCTTCAGCAGGGTGGTGCTCCTTCTCATACTTCAGCCTCCACATCAAAGTTCCTGAAAGTGAAGAAGGTCAAGGTGCTCCAGGATTGGCCAGCCCAATCACCAGACATGAACATTATTGAGCATGTCTGGGGTAAGATGAAGGAGGAGACTTGGAAGATGAAACCAAAGAATCTTGATGAACTCTGGGAGTCCTGCAAGACTGCTTTCTTTGCCATTCCAGATGACTTCATCAATAAGTTATTTGAGTCATTGCCGAGACGTATGGATGCAGTCCTCCAAGCTCATGGGAGTCATACACGATATTAATTCTTTTTCCCAAGGCACCATGACTTTATGTTCTGATGTTATTGGAGCATGTTTGTGTATTCAAAATAAAGTATCATTTCTACAGTACATTATTTTTGTATGCGACAAGACTTTTGTCCAAGCAAGATCTGACTTTTCTGTCCTAATTAAATGATAAAATTCAGTGAATGATGCACAACTTTATTTTGGTATAATAAGCATAATCTAGAGGCCTTTGCCTTTCATATAAGCCATTTCTGATTCCAATTGATCAACTACAAGTCAGGTTATTATTTGTTGTTCCTACAACTTGGATAAGCGACAAGACTTTTGTCAGGGACTGTATATACAGCATAATAGCCATTAGCTATTGGGTTATTGGGCTCACAGGTTGATACATACAGCTGTCGCAACCTGAAAAGGCTCACCAGACTATTCATAAGTAGGCTGAGAGAGAGTGTTTTAGGCCAGATAACTGATTGTAATGTCTTTGTTGTGGCTGCTATAGATGTGATATTAATAAATTAATTCACAGCAAAAATGTGAAGAGGACAATAAATATTAACTTTAGTTTGACCAGTTTTGCCATTGTCAGTGCAGTTTTTTGAAACAAATTATCCTTTGTTTTATCCTGGTTGTATTGCATCACAGTAGACGACAACCAACGCTATGTCTGGGACACCTCATGACGTCCGGACAGAAAGTCAAGCATGTTTGATTTTCTTTTTGTCTTCCTCAGCCGTCACCTTGACCAATAGAAACACAGAGCGATCTGCTGCCATAGACAACTGTAGGGCAACAACACCACAGCCTTTTTGATATTTCCTGTAGGGATGTTACCACACAGAGTAAAAAGGCAAAATTATTGCATGAAACAGCAGAGGCACTTAAGCAACCCACTGAGTTCTGCCAACAGCATCAGGCTAGCACAGAATGTGGTTTCTTCATAATAGAGAAGGGTATAAAGGAATAAAATTCAAAAATAGTGGCAGAGCTTTTACTTACCACAGCTGCAGAGGGTGCCGGCTTCATTTGAAACAAACTACATAAAAAACAAGCCTTTTGTTGTTATTCCCTCTGTATTATTCTATTTTTACTTTTAATCCGCCCTCATTTGCCCTGTTAAAATTAACGTATCATACCGTCATTTCAAACTCAACACTTCCTGTATTCATTTAAAATTAAATAAAATAATTAATAACTTCGGTTGAGAGGATCCCTTCATATTCTTAAAAAAAGGCTTTTAATTGTGAAACATTTGCAGGAACTTGTTGTAGGGGATTCAGTGACTTGCATACTTCACATGCATACTTCAAATGTAGCTCCTGCCATCTGCCGCCACTTCTTACATTACAATATTAACATTTCGGCGGGCACATAAAAAGCCAAAATGACTGAAATAATAGTAATAATAATAAAAATATGACAAGAATAACCCAATGACATCATGCACATCATGATAGATGACCAGTGATGATTGGTCGCAGACCAACATGTAGTCATGTCTGCTGGCCAAGTCACAGCAAGATTTTATGATTCCACAATTAAATAATCTGATATGGTGACTGTCGGAGCAGAGATAAATGTGGTGTAGTCTGAACTCAGCATTATCAATACGTTGATACTAACAATCAATAGACTATGTGAAGTGTGAAAGGTGTCATAGTGATGAACCATCATAGAATTATCACTAACTTTGCAGTTCCTCTCAGCTCTACTGAACTACCTGGCCTCTTTTAGCTCATTATTATGGTATGGCACTTAACTATTTTAGTTTACTCTCACTGCTCTACAGCAAAACACTGATAAAGCCACTGTACACTACCTGTCCTTCACCAAAAGACAAATCTAGCTATTAGCTGGTGAGCATAGTGGAGCATTTAGCAGCTAAAGAGCCAGATATTTCCCCTCAGGAGTTGATAAAGAACAGCGTAAAGAGAGTGAATACTGGACTGACATTCATCATGTGGACACAAACACAACTTCAGATAAGTGCTGGATTTGTAATTAAGCAGCCGTTTGTTAGCCTGTTTGTCATAACAGCTTTATAATATGTCAGATGTGTTTTCAGCTTGTTCCCGGCCCCTGAGACAAATCAATTCAAACAGCTTTAAGTAATGAGTAGAATAATCCTCAACAGGATGTGGTTATAATTACACTTGTAGATTAAGCCATTAATTGTAGAGATATAATTTAAGTCAGTGCAAACAGGGGTTATACTGCACATTCAGTTTGCATTCGATCTGCTTTACTAAATACAGCTAAACCACATGCAGAGCCTTTTGTCATATTTAGGTCACTTATAGTTTGACATCTTTCATCAACTGTGTTTACTCAGCTGCTTTTGACAGGTCTGAATCTTCTTTCATGAAACACCATCCGTGTCTGTGTCCCTGTCCCTGTAGAACCTGAATTTCACAGGTTTCAGGAAGATCCTCAAGAAGCATGATAAGATTTTGGAGACGTCGAGAGGGGCTGACTGGAGGGTGGCCCATGTTGAAGTGGCTCCATTTTACACATGCAAGAAGATCACACAGCTTATCTCTGAGACTGAGGTGCACACGTACACACACACACACACATACACATACACACACACACATAGATATTAGTGTAAACATGCTCAAATTTATAAATGCTTCACTGGCATTGCTCTGGTCAATAACAGTAATGCTGAAGAAGTTTATACAATGTCAATATGTAATTTAAAGGCAACAGTAAGAAAAATTTACCTGCCATCAGTGATCAGTTATTATTAGTTAGGTAAAGAGCAACCCTCAAAATTCTTTCTCTATGTGTCTTTCAGGCATTGGTCACAACAGAGTTGGAAGGCGGTGACAGGCAGAGGGCCATGAAGAGGCTGAGGGTACCTCCTCTGGGAGCTGCACAGGTCAGACTCTTTCACACACACGCACGCACACCCACCCACACACACACACACACACACACACACACAATCAGTCAGTATTAATTCAACATGCCCTGCTGTCACTTGATCTTCCTCTATGAAGGATCAGACCTCCAAGGGCCTCCTGTTGTCCTGTTAACTGCTTATAATCAAACTTTCACCCACAGAAAGCTCCCTTTCCTAACAGTTGCCAACAAAGTGACGGACCAAGTACCCAATTTAAATTGTCATGAAATGAACCCAGATAATTGCTGTCCCAATAAGTTTGTATTTCCTTGGGGGGAAACAAACAAATCCAATCATTATGAATTTTGCTGACACTTTAAGATGGTCTGTCTAATAGATTCCTCTCTCTATCTCTGTTTCTTTTCTTTTTCTTTTTCTTTTTTTGCACCCAATATCACCCTACAAACTAAACTTCTCTCAAATTACACAGTCAGTAATATATTATTATACTGTACATGGTGACAGCTGTCCACTCTATCCAGACAAATAGACCATATTATGCCTTTACACTGAGACCTTTATTTTTTATTTTTTGTTACATGTATGACATCTACATTAAGAATAAGTTGCAAATGCAATTTCAAATTCATTATTAGTTTGACTTATTTGTTTGGGTAATGAACAACAAGCTCAGAAAATGTGGTTATGCTGAAAGATGGTCCAGTTTTTTGACATGTCTGCATGTCCACAATTTGTAATAACCCTGATATATATGTGTATATATCTATATCTATATATATAGATATATGTATATGTATGTGTGTATATATATATATATATATATGTATATATATATATATATATGTACTTCTCTGAACATTCGTGTTATGAGTTTTATAGAGTGCCTGAGTTTTCTGTGTGTTCAAATTTGAATAGTAGATCAGTAGGTATATATATTACTCCTGGGCAGCTGGGCCTGTTACTAATTGTGTTGTCATGCTCTGACTGCGTGTCTGTGTCTGCCTACAGCCTGCTCCTGCTTGGACCACTTTCAGAGTCGGCCTTTACTGTGGAGTATTCCTTGTCTTAATAGTCACTGTGGTCATTACAGGTAATACACACATTCAGCTCTTAAACAATTGTTATAAAAATTGTGCATCTAAGAATATAAGATTTTTAAGGTTTGAAATATTTAATCATCTAGTGACTCAGGTTTTAGTTCCTGGAAAACAACTGCCAGTGTGTCCAGGCCAGAAATATACAGTACTTAAAATATTTGGCAAACATTGATCATAGCAGAACACACTGTAGTGTCAGGGTTAGTATTAGGAATTAGTGTGTTTCATGACTTGAGTGGAATAACCTATTTATGTTCTTTACATTGTGACATATGGTGGGCTACTAAGGTTTTAGAATAAGTAGGCCTTTGTCCTCTGTGCATATTACTGCCCGTTTGTCTGATTTGTTCAAATAAAAATAAGTCAAAATGTCCTCTACAGTACACTTCTTCTGAACGTGCTGTAGAGACAAAAATTCATAAAATAAAATTCATTCATAGACGCAGAATTCATCGATAATATTGGAAAAAAGTAGCAACTAGAAAAGCACTTGGAGAGCGCAGACCTCCGCCAAGCAGCTCGGATTTCCCGCCATTTTATTATTTTATCCACTTTGCTTCAACCGATCACCACCAAAATTGTATCATCTGTTCCTTTTCATTTCATCAAAATCCGTTCAGAACTTTTTGAGTTATTTTGCAGACAAACAGACAAATCCCGGCGAAAACATAACTTCCTTGGCGGAGGTAATAAAAAAACTGGACAAAATCATTTTGTGACTTTTTTTGTTGTGTTTTTAGAATATATTACATCACCAAATGTAGGGCTGGGTATCTTTTAAAAATATTGCGATACCAGTACTAATACCAGTACCCTCAAAGTGATACAGATACCAAGAGAGTACTTCATTTGATACCTTTGTTTTTTACTTCATTTAATACCCATTGTGTGAATAGAAGCATTGTGTAAAATTCCACCAGACACCACAGGATTGTAGTGTAGCCATACTTTCAAACATTTTGGTGTCATCTCTTCTCGCTGAACTGCCAACACTTTAAAATACACTGCGCTCAGCTTCACCACACCATAGACTGTATTGGTTGTAGCTGCTGCAGTAGTGGGCCAAATACATGTTACATTATGTCAAAGAATGCTTGTGGTGATTGGCTGCAAGCAAAACCATGAAATAGTTTGTTTTTTATAGATGTGGGTACAAAAAGGACAGGATGCAGGTAGGGCTGGGCGATACGGACAAAAACTCATATCCCACTATTTTCAGGCTGAATGGCGATACACGATATATATCCTAGTATTTCCTACTAAGTGGGCTACATGTTCAGTTGCAAGCTTTGGCTCTCTCCTTCTCACAGACACATGCAGAAAACTCACAAACATGATACATAACACACACTCCCCCGCCCACCCAGATCAGTTTCTCCAGAGTGACAGTGTGAGTAGGCGAAGCACGTCTTTGTACCTGCAGGGCTCCAGGTTGCTATTATTCATTCGCATTTTGTGACCAAGGAGCACCAGTTCAGCTTGCAAGTACTATTAATATATAAACTGGAGAGCTGTTTCTTTGATTCCAGCTCATAGTAAATAAATCATCATGTTTAAAGGCGCTGCAGTAACAGTTTAATGAGTTTAATGATAGTGTGAGCAGACAAAGCATTTGTTTTTGTTAATTGCAGGGCTCCAGACTCTGACTGTTTACATGCATTCTTTAACTATGGAGCACCAGTGTGACTTGCAAATACTATAAATATATAAACTGGATAACTGTTACTGTGTTTCTAGTTCACAATGAATAAATATTCATGTTGAAAGGCACCGCAGTAACGGTTTAACTTCGTGCTAACTGCTAACTTCTGTTGACCGGAGGCTTTAGGGTCACAGCAAAAACATCAACACTTTCGGCCTGAGTCGAGCTGGGTGCTTCACAATGAAAAGCACCAATGGTTCTGCTTTGATTTATTTAGTTATAACACTATCTTTTTTAACTTTATTATAACAGTACTTTATTTAACTTTATTGTAACAATACTTAATTGAACTTGATTGTGACACTAGCTACTGTATTAATCAACTTTATTGTAACTGTAGGTCATCTAATAATTATGTATTTTAGTAGTCCACAGTGGTTTAGAGGAGCTTTCAAAATATTGAGTCATATATTATGTACCGTGATATAGCCTAAAAATGTGACAATATTTTTTTAAGCCATATCGCCCAGCCCTAAATGCAGGTATCGTTTGACTGGAGAAGTTTTGATATTACTCGGTACTGGGTTATTTCAGTAGATACCTCAAAAGTATGATATTCTGATACCCAGCCCTAACCAAATGTCAACATTTGAAAATCTGCTACACTCAGTATGACTTTGATGCTGCATGGAGGGATGTTATTTTTATGATAGTACTTCTGCCTCATAAAGTAGTTTATAAGTTGGCAGTGAGTGATCTGGTGTGAGTGTTCTGTTCTTCTCTCATTTTTCTTTTGTCTCCTCTCTCCATACATTACACACTCTTTTCCCATGTTTCTATACCTGTCACTAGGAGCTGTGGTGATCCGCAGTGCTGATGTTTGGCCTATGGTCAGGATCTACAGAGGAGGCTTCCTGTTAATAGAATTCCTCTTCCTGTTAGGTATGCATACACACACACACACACACACACACACACAAACAAACACATGTTTCCCTACCACATAAGCTTGAACGATTTCCTGTTCAAAATAAGCGCACAAAAATACCAGTCCCACTGTTTTTATCTTCCAGGCATCAACACGTATGGCTGGAGGCAGGCAGGAGTGAACCATGTACTCATATTTGAACTCAACCCCAGAAACAATCTGTCACATCAACATCTGTTTGAGGTCTGAGCACACACATGCAAACCTGCTGTCTAACAAACACAACAAGTACTGTAGCTCAATACAAAACCCTCAAAATGAAATGAAAATAATAACTTTGTAACCATGAGCATTTCTACCAGTTGCTTTTTGTACAATCTAATATACTGGATGTTTATTTATCCCTCTGGATTAAAGAGCATATTTTGATAGTGATAAATATTGTGACTGAATTTGTGTGTGTGCACGCAGATTGCAGGTCTGCTGGGGGTGTTGTGGTGCGTCAGCCTGCTGTCCTGTCTCTTCAGGGATAGCATCATGGTACCGATGCAGGCTAATCCTCTCGCTCTCTACGGCTTCTTCTTCCTCTTCCTCATCAACCCATTCAAGACCTGCTACTACAAGTCACGCTTCTGGCTGCTCAAACTCTTGGTATCATCACTCAATTACAAAGTTTTTTTAAAAAAAGTTTGTTTTCATTTGATGTTTCTGTCACCACCTTTCATTTTTTTTGTTCAAATATTCAGTATATGTGATGCAGTAAATTTAGTTAATTGTAGTTGATAAACATGTTTCAAGTGTTTGACTGTTTGAAAGGTACACCATTTAACATTTTCAGAGTTTTGTTACAAAATCACTATATTAATACAAACCTGGTATCCACAACCTCTCTGATATTTTCTGCCATGCTTCAGACTTTATACTTGAGCTGCAACAATCAATAAGCAATACCACAGAAACTTTGGTACAGATCGGAGCTACGGCCTAGGAGGAGATGTCAAAAATATGTTTTTCAAAAAAACTCAATATGGTGAAAAATTTAGTCACCTTCGTGGTTCTTGCTGCTTTCTTAGAACACATTCACCTGGACATGTTGTGGAATTTCACGTCAGTCCGACAAATGGTGGAGTTTCCTTGACCTTAATTATAGTGCCCCCATCTAGCAGATTGGCATTATATTTTTTGATCATCATTTGCACACAGCTTCCAATCATTGGTGAAAATTTTATGTAAGATGTACCATCTCACAGGAATTTGCGAAAACATTTCTGAACAATAATTATAAGGAGAATAATTAATATTAATAATAATCACACAGCACAAAAACAATGGGGTTTTAGTCCTTCAGATGTGAACCCCTGATTATATTCTATATTCTCCTACAATGAGTTTTGAAATGCCATTGTATGAGGGTTGTTGGGGCTAGTGTATTTTATATCAAAGATTAATGTATTAGAATTATTGTATAAGTAATTTGAATTTTGCGTGACAGTCTGGTGAAGGCTTTTAGGAATCAACAATGTGCAGAACTTAAAAGTAGTATCATCACAGCGCCCTTAATAAAGACCAAGTACAAATGGACTCACTTTGAAATCAGTGGAGAACAGTTATGTATTCCACCCTAACAAACACACTAATGATTGCTTTGGTTCAGGATTCTGAAGAGAAACTGTCCTCTGTGTCCCTTCTTTCACAGTTTCGGGTGGTGACGGCTCCATTTCATCGGGTTGGCTTTGCAGACTTCTGGCTTGCTGACCAGTTGAACTCTCTAGGTGTGGTTCTGATGGATCTGGAGTACATGATCTGTTTCTACAGTTTTGAGCTGGATTGGAAGAAACATGACGGACTCATCAGCAGTGAAGGTAAGACTGAACAATCAAAGACTGGTAAGATTCTGATACAGTGATGATGGACCCACAACTCATCATAACCACATTGTCTGCATGCCACCCTCTGCAGGTAGAGATGTCTGTAATTCCTACTCGTATGGCGTCCGTGCGGTGATCCAGTGTCTTCCTGCTTGGTTCCGATTCGTCCAGTGTCTGCGACGTTACCGTGACACCAAACGGGCCTTTCCTCACCTGGTTAATGCTGGGAAATACTCAACTTCCTTCTTTGTCGTCACCTTTGCTGCCCTGTACAGCACACATAAAGGTAGCATGGAAACTCAGATACACTACACGTCTTTGCTGTATTCAATGTACAGAGACCTTGATTGGAATATCCTTATATATAGTATATAATTACTTATCACACCCTTTTATTATAGATAGAAAAAAAATATTTCCATTATTCCCTGCCTTTTCATATTTTTGTTCATAATGTTGTAAGATGTCTCTCTGTTTTCAAATTTTATACTATTTTACTGTTTTCACTTCCTCCGTTATTCTGTTGTTCTGGGGTCATGTCACAAATCACTTCCTACTCAGATGTTTAACATTAAAACTCTTCCGGCAGCTCAAAGAGCATAATTCCTCTCATTGCTGGTATGTTATAAGACCATCAAAATGTAACAGGTGACACATCTCTCATCTGACACTCCATGCACCATGACTCTGTTATGCTGATGTTTGCCCACGCTGGTCATTATTTGAATAATAGCTTTTAAATTCATGGTACCTTACAGCTTTTACCATATTCTAGTTCCCCCGCTCTTCTACTCCCCTTCACCCTACCAGAGACTCATTTTTGTCTTTTTTTGGGGTGGGACGGGGGATCTTCATCGGAGATTGCGGTAAACAGTATATGCCCCATTGAAGTGGTAAACATAATCTCAAAGCTGGGAACCTGAAGATTCATTTGAGATGTAGCTTTTCTTGTCACAAATCTACAAAAAATATTGTGTTTTCTTTAGAGGCCTATTCAAACTGAAAGTTTAGAGTGTATGTATAATGGAAGTACATCATGGATATTCTCATTCTCAATTATATCTTCTAAGTTATTGAAGCAATTTTTGTGTTGACTGTTACACAGATTTGGTGCTAAATTTATGCATTTTGGCCACATGAGAATTGATAAAAATGGTGAAAAATCCCTCCAAAATGCCACATTAAGACTCCAAGACCTTTAGGAACACCATACAAAAATCCATGCTGTGATTTGGTATCAAAAACTTAAGACATTTGGAGATTTTGTAAGAATTGCATGATTCTACAATTGGATTGTGAGAACCTTTGTTCTGGAAACTGCTCAGAAACCTCTTTATTGTCAAAGTACCTATAATATCTCTTGAATGCCCGAGGTCTCCAGTGCATGTTTGTAAAGTTTCAGAGGCTGTGATTATCCTAGAGGTCACAATAGATCATTTTATATAGTGATCTTTTTTTTTTTTTTTTTAATGTCTCACTACAATGAAATGGCTACTAAGGGGGTTAACATCATCACACATTAATTAACCTGGGCTCATTGAATCCACAAGAGTCTCAGTTTTCCATTCATACCCAAATTCAGGCAATTCCAAGACTGTTTAGGAACCCCAGTATGCAGAAATAGTCCAGTACAATAAGAAAAAATAATACATTTGTACTGCATGTGAAAAATGCATGGGTTTTGTCCAAAACTGCATGGGATAAACATAAAGCTGGCATATCTGTAAAGATATCTTGAGGTGAAGGGACCCCTGTTAAAATGGCCACGCCACTTTTTCCCTTGTTAAATTTTAGCCTAGATTTGGAGCATTATTACCGACAAGTTAGCATAACGTGATTGGTCCCAATGGATGCCTTAGGTGTGGAAGAGGGTAAAAGTGTTCACTGCCACCCCACACCACCTTCAGTTGGTGCTGCAGTTCTACATGACAGCTGACTAGAAGTTCTGAAGCCTCAGACAATAAGAATAAAATAAAAAGACAAAACAGACTTTTACAGCAGTGGGTTATTTCCTTTAAGAAAAAGGATTTTTTTTTTCAAGTTTATATTTATTTCCTAGTGAGGCTCTGTTGCCTGTGTTGTCCATTGCATATTTAGTTATAAAGCAGCTTTTCCTGTTGTGCATCAGAAGCCAAACTAACAGCATAAAAGATTTTATTAAAGTATGAATCACTCAAAGGAAATGGTGGCTTGGAATCATTTTGGGATAGTCTACATACATAGATATATTCTCTCCTTTAAATGAAAAATACAGCTGTCTGGGTTATTAAAAACCAAATAAGCAAACATCTTTGATTGATGTTTCCATTTTTAAACATATCAATTTGATGCTATACCATCTGTCTAACCTCAACCTCTCTCTCTCTCTCTCTCTCTCTCTCTCTCTCTCTCTCTCTCTCTCACTCTCTCACTCTCTGACTCCTCAGCTGAAGCCCACGCTGATGCCCAGATCTTCTTCTACTTGTATATCAGCTGCTTAGTGGTCAGCTCATGCTACACACTGGTCTGGGATCTGAAAATGGACTGGGGCCTGTTTGACCGCAATGCAGGAGAAAATACCTTTCTGAGAGAGGAGATAGTCTACCCACATAAGGTATTTGTCCACACAGAGAAGAGAGGGACTCATCCAGTAGTTTGATCCTTTCAGTGTGAGTCCCTGATCATGTGATGATGTGTCCTCCCTGCTCTCTCTGTCTCATTCCAGGCCTATTACTACAGTGCCATAGTGGAAGATGTGCTGTTGCGTTTTTCATGGACTTTAACAGTCACCCTCAGCAGAGTCTCTGGGATCCATGGCATCTCTGACATACTGGCAACTATACTAGCCCCAATGGAGGTCTTTAGGTATGAACAATCATTCTGATATCTGACTTTTTATGCCTCTGCACCAGCGATAGCCATGGCCGGAGACATAATGTTTTTAGGTTGTTTGTCCATACCCGTGAACACGATAAGTCAAGAATGTGGAATTTTTTCAAATTTGGCACAAATGTTCACTCGGCATCAATGATGAACGGAATCATTTTTGGTGATCATGAGTCAAAGGTCAAGGTCTCTGCAACTTCGTCTGTCTTATACCTGTGAACACAATATCTCAAGAAGGCCTTGAGTGAATTTCTCCAAATTAGGCACAAATGTTCACTTGAACTCAGCGATGAACTGATTACATTTTGGTGCTTAAAGGTCAAGGTCACTATGACCTCATCCATTACATTTTCATGAACACACTATTTAAAGACTACCTGGAGGGAATGTTTTTAAGTTTGGTACAAACATTTACTTGGACTACTGATTAGAATTTGGTGGTCAAATGTCACGGTCACTGAGACGGACAGCATAATGTTCTTCAAAAACACTTTTCTGGCTATTACCCACTGTCTTATCTCAGGAACAGTAGAGGTGACATTTGGTCAGATACTGAATTGGAGACACTAAAACTGTGCTAATGGTATAGATCTTCTGTGCTGCCTGGTGGACAATGTGTGTGAAGCGTCCATGTTTTCACAGACATGGATGTAAACTGAAAGTGCAACTTTCTTTCTTTTAAAGTTTCCTTCTTCATCTCTTACTTTCTACTCCTCTTATTCCCTCTGGGTCAATATGTCAGTTTTTCTTTCCACTTATGAATGTTTCTATAAAATGTCATTATTTCCTGGAGCCCTGGAAGACATCCTCAAATTGCTTGTTATGTCCCATCAATCTTTAAAACCCAAAGATGTTTTTAGTCGTCAGCAGCAAAGGTAGAATACGTTCTCCTTTTTGAAAACTGTAAACAGCAAATGATGGACATTTTTAACACTTTTGATAAGCAGTTACTTTAATTATTTGAAACATGAAATAGAATTTAGGATTAAGCATGTAACAATAACTGCCTTTGTTGGATAAGATATTGTCCCAGAAATAATTGCAACAAACAATATTATTGTCATTTTGCAACCATTTTATGCCATTGATATAATGATTATATTATAGCATAATAATATTCCTCCTAACTTTAAAGAAAACATTTGTAACAGCTGATATAGTATGTGATGACCACTGGCTGGCGTAAGGATGTGAATCATTGTTATTCATTGTTGTTTAAATATTTAATATGTGACGTAAGGTATGTAAGAAAGATTTGCTACTGACAGTGAGCATTTCTCCTCCCCAGGCGTTTTGTGTGGAATTTCTTCAGATTAGAGAACGAGCACCTGAATAACTGTGGTGAGTTCAGGGCTGTCAGAGACATCAGCGTGGCCCCGCTCAATGCTGACGACCAGACACTGCTGGAACAGATGATGGACCAGGAGGACGGAGTCAGGAACCGTCAGGGCAAGAAGAGCTGGAAGAGGAGCTACAGCATGAGTCTACGCAGGCCACGACTGGCCTCACAGTGAGTCTGAACAACAACAGATCCAAGCGTGATGTGGGAGCAAATTAATAATAAATTAATTAATTAATTAATACGAAATTTAAAGCCTGTTTTACCAAATAGGTGTAGAGTTGAAGAGAAGTGGGATTTAACCAGGCAGGAAAGGTCAAACAACAGACACTATCAAGTTGCCTTTTGGAAAACACAGGATCCACAGTAGTGTTGGACAGGGGTGGGTAGAAAAAACAATTCTTAGATGCATTGCAATTCTCTGTCTCCATGCAGAATAGTCAATAATCAGAAAATTAAAAACCAAATTCTTTTTATCATGATCACCTGTAAAACTAGGCTGTGTGTTCCTTACAGCTGTAATTTGACCGATCCAATGTCCCGCCCTCCTTAATTACTGTTGCTAGTTCAGGCAAGCTTGACAAAAAATAAACAAACATGGCAGAACTGGTTCTGTTTATCTGGGTGCTGCAGTGTGTATCAGATGGTTTCTCGTCACCTTTGTTGCTTTAACTGCAAAGACATACTTTGGCAGAGCAACATGGGGGCCTGGTAGTTAATGTAAGACAGCATTCTGTATAATGTATCATAGCGAGCCTAATATGGACAAGGCTGTTCAGATCGTGATTGATAGTTGTTTTAGCTACTTATTTATGCAACATAGAGAACCCTAACACATAGCATATCTAGCTCTGAGTGTAACAGGAAAGAGGAAAGTTGACCAAGGTTCTGCGGCCATTTTAACAAGTGACTGTGTTAACTGGTGACTTTCAGCCAAACGCACCATGGTTGCTTGTAGTAATTTATGAAAATGGTTGCCGTAGATAATAAAAACAGATGAGTATGTATTTGAAATTGATGAAGTAAAATTAAATTAAAGCCTTTTTTTTTTTTTTTTTAAGGAGGACACAGACATGTTTTGTTTGTGTCTTCAAAAGCTCGGCACTACGAGTAACTACAACGCATTCAGCTAAGAGTAACTAGTTACCACGGTCACCGGTCACGGATACCAGGCTTGCTCAATGGGTTATTGGAGCCCAAAGCAAAAAGGGGTGGAACTAAGGAATGGCTTTGTGTTGTAAAATGTAACCTTCGAGTTAACACATCTCCTCTATGTTACTACTATTGTATTAATCAAAAGTTTTGGTAGTAATTAATCTGTTTTTGTTTTTTGTTTTTTTTTAAATTACGCATCATTATAAGTACGCTGTTTTAAAAGTAGGGTTGCAACGGTATGAGGTTTTTCCCAGTACGCTGTCTCTGAAAATATTGTGGTTTCACGGTATTACAGAATTATTATTACTATCAGTCAGAATGACCCTTAAAGGAATGAAAATGGAAGGGTTGTTATCATGGTATACCTTGATACCACGACCCTATTAACCCTATTGAAGTAGCAAGTACAGTTAGAAAAAAGAAATCATGTATAGATGTCAAAAATTTTGATGCATCAATAATTTTGTAATTGCATTGTAGCCCTCTGAATTGAACTGAATGTTGAGATTCCCACCCCTGATTTAAGACATAAGAATAGTCAGGATATCTCGACCTCTTCTGCTTCAATTTCGGCATTTTTTTTCCCCTGAAGTTATGGAAAGTATTTTTTAGGACTGAACAGAAAATATGTGCTCAGATAAATTTGATGTTGAATGGCTGACCCAGTCAAACTGTTTTCTAGTTATTTCATACACTGATGTTAAAGTGCATGGGTTAAATAGTTTCGATCAACTGATTCATTAAATTATTACAGTTCTTAAGATTTTCTCATGGCGGGAGTGTGCACCAACAGTTTTGTTTCTTAAGTTTTTCCGATACACTTGGTTGACTCGAATGTCAATGAAAAAATGATGTTCATTATTTATGTAATTTTAATTTTAATCGCCATAATCTCCTAATATGATCCAGTGTATTCAATAAAGCATAAGCTAAAGTAAGTGGTTTGATCCAAGGTTTTCTGATCTCACTGTGTTCAATGTTCTCCATAAAAGCAATGCTATTGGGCTGTTTGTGAAAACTACTCTGTAATATATGACGTCTGCTGTTTGTAGTGATTGGTATCTTAGGTCATATAATCCTCTCTGTGTGTGAACTTAGTCAATTAATTGACTTTAAGGTAGTTAGTTGTAGTAGTTGCAGTAGTTAGCAGCAGTAAAACATAATGGAATTAATGTGAAGACACACAATGTGGGTTTAATAATCCATATAATGAACCTCTCACTCTGCTAGTGGCATCAGCATGCTTACCTTCTTCCTTTTCCCCCATTCCAGGTCCAAGACCCGTGACACCAAGGTTTTGATAGAGGACACTGATGATGACTCCTGACATCAGGCCACGCCCCTCGCCTGGGTCCAGAATTTATTCAAAGGAGGGAACTCCACCTCCTAACCGAGGAATTACCCAGCGAGTTGGGCGTTGAACTCTCAGCCAAGGATGAGTTTTAAACTCTCATGCCTACGTAATTGTTTCTCCAATGTATGAGCCTCTACATGGGCTCAGAACTATTTGAAGTATTTCAAGGGAGAAACTGTCACCTCTTGAACAAACAACCCAGCAACACGGCCATCACACTCCTACTCCTACCTTCAGTAATAACCAGGGGTGGGCCAGTCACTTAAACTCTACCTTACTCAAGCAGTGGGTGAAAAAACTGCTCTCCTTGTCATCCACAGCCACCCAGAGGGGGACTCTTTATCTGCACCCACTCCTCAGCCATTGCTTGGGCTTTCCTAAAAGCCTCAGCCTAGCATGAACAACGCAGCTAAATGGAATGCAAGCCGATCATCCTGACAGGAAGTGTCCCTGCTCCCTCTCGGTGCCACAAAGCTCCCACACCGGGAGAGGCCGACCACTTCAAACCCACTGCTGTTGAGGACCAAAAGGTTTTCTCCCTGCCTTTAGTTATTGGCCTCCGCCCACACCACAACTCAAGAGATTTCGAGTCAACTTGTAATTTGGACCTCATAATGAACCTAAAGCCCCTCTTTCTAGTAAGAGAATAAAACGGGTTGGAAAGTGTCCTCCTCTTCCTCGTCTTTCTACTTTTCGGCGACTTTTTAGGCCTTGTGACCTTCCCCCCTTACCCTCAGCCAACAGACTATGCTGACGAACATTTGGTAACGCCAATCAGTCGCTGGCTTGACTCCCCTCACACTTGAGCTTGCCCGTTCAAATCATCACAGAGCTGCCTACCTGCACCTTACACGCTTTACAAACACACACACATAAAAACACACAGAGAAACAAGCACTTTGTAGGAGGGAACTGGAGTGGAATGCCTCTTGTGTGTTCACACACACAGACCTTGATTTCAGTGTGCAACACTTGACCATTAATCATTTTTAGACCCTGGGAAGAAACACACACACGCACACAAATAGACTAGTGATTATTTATAACCGTGGTTGTAAATATGAGACGGACCAAAGTAGGAGGTGGTGTGAAAATATTCAGAAAATAAATATTCCATTAAAAAAAGTGCTGAGTTTGGACTGCATGGAACAGCAGCTGGAATGACTGTTCAGCCATGGAGCTGAGAGGAAAACTTTACTTTTGTTTCCGGGAAAAGATGAAGATCAACTTAATCATCCTGCGGAAACTCCCAGTCACCCCATGTGGAAAAATATATCCTCCATCTGGAAATGGTTTTGCTGAATGTATGCCAACTTATTTATGTATGTATGAGTGGGAGACATGCTTAAATACTACCAGTTAACCCATTTAGGCCAATCAGCTTTTGGAAACTTAAAATAAGAGGTAAGATGAGTTCTTAAGATTTTTAATTTCTTCCCTCTGACATCTTGATGGAAAACTTTTGATTTATGAAACAGTACTTCTCATCTGTTACACTGGTTCACTGAAATGTGACCGTAATGGAAACGGGAGAGGTCACCTGTCTGTCACATACTGGTTCAAACTGTCACAGTCAAAAGGGTGGTGTAGTTAAACTTGAATCTCAGTGAAGTGGCTCTTCCAGCTGGTTTGGTGGCGAAGGTCCTATGTTTGGCTGTGTTTACACTCTTGAGATACATGCTGGTGTAGCTAAGGTTCCATAAACAATCCAGTTTGGGTTTAAGACTTTAATGGACAAGGTTGGTGGAATTAAAGAACATTTGTTTTGAGACATCATTTTAATATTTTTGTATGTTCAGCATGCCATTGTACTTTTCAACACATCTTATTTTAGTCTACAGTAAATTCTCAAATTTGACCTTTATTGCCTCATTGGCAGAGGGCTCTCTCTTTGTTTGCAATAGGCTTATATTAGAAAGTTGTTTTCTTAAATACTTCTGCTTCTCTGCAAACTCAAAACTTCCTCCATGGTAATCTGTTGTCTTGCGAAAAATTAGTGTAATGTACATTTCCTTAAACAGCTGGTAGTTGAGGGGCTTGGCTGTGGTGTGGTGTCTATTTGTTTCCAAAGTTTGACAAAGTCTCAGTCAGTAACAGGTTCCACACAATCACCACCACATCATCTGTATATCTGCAAACTAATTTTAGATACACTATGTCATTGTGGCCACACTGCAGACTCTAGTGTCAAGCTGTGTTACTTAATCATTAGAGCTACAAAATGAATCCATCTTCTATTGTTTGAAGAGGACAGGTAGTTGTGATTACACTGGAGAAAATGTTTTTCTAAATGTTTTTAATAGAGCGAAGATATACATTTTGTTGCTTTTCTTTCACATTCCAAAAATGGTTGACATACATCCATAGTGTGTAGCCGCTCAGTCGAACATCAGCTCGTGTTGTGGTCTCACATTAACTGTTGAAAATAAGTTTAGTTGAGGAGGTTCTTTTAGAGTTTTTTCCAATTGCTTTTATCAATCAGCCATTTAGCACAAACCTCTCTGCTTTCATGGTTTTCAGTGAGTTTGATAGTAGCTTGTGGATGCTGAATGAAAATGATTGACTTCTACAGTCCTTCAGGAAGCCCTGATTGAAGTCGTTTTCAAGAGAGCAGAAAGTCCCTCAGTGACTATGTGGACTTAAACTTCATTTTGTTTTTCTACATTTTCTTTGTCATAGTGAAAACAGTCTCTGTGCTCAGACTTGAGGAAGGTGCATAGAATTTTAATTGTAGCAGAGTTTTAGTTTTCATCATCTTGTTTTACTGGTCCTGTCTCTTAAATATACAGTACGACAACTACTTGAGGACAGAAATGTGTAATGCAACTGCAGTATGTTTTATCTGGGTCTCCAACATGACATAATCTACTATTCAACTATGGGTCGACACTCTAGCTTGCAGGATAGCAGAGCTTTTGCCAGTGTAGCTAATTAAACATGTAAGTTGAATATAATTGTTCCTATTGTGAAGGTCTTCAGTTCTCAATTTCAGTTAATTTGAGAAACAGCCGGTCTTTCAAATGACCACTATCGTCTCTCATTGCATGCTGACATTCCCATATAGTCATTTTTCTAATAGATGTCTGTTTTGGATTTTTTGTGTGTAGGAACAGCAGACACCGACAAATATGTGACATTCAACATGATATAGAACGTTGAAGACCATGTATAATGTCTTATTAAATTGTAGAGAATAGCAATACTTGATAGATCTAAAGAAGTTGCTACTTTTTTAATGGAGGGCAAATGAGCACATATACAAAACAACAGTAGAAATGTTAGCAGTGGTATGTGAGCTGTTAGGAACTTGTTTGGCTGACAGGATGCTGGTGGACTAAGGGCGGCATGTCTTTCTTGCATTTCCACTTGTTAGACAGTAGGAATAATGACATTTCCTAGTAAACACCCAGGGTGGATACTTATCAGACAAGTTCTGCTGGCATGCAGGTAAATTATACAACATTAAATAATGTGGGAATTTTAGCCATATCATCTGTGCTGGTTGCAGAATTCTAAAAAGATTGAAATACAGCAGTCAGTGAACTTTATTTTTGTTTCTTTTCTTTGCATTGCACCTTGTCTTTAGTGTTTTGATTTTGTTGTACCTTGATATCTTGATAATCTGCTCTGTCATTCCTGAGAGCCTCTTGGTACCCTATAGTTTCATACAGCTTAGCCCCTTGGTTCTCTCTCTCCCCTACCCTAACATCATGGGTGCCCGAGTTCAGACCAGCAGCTTTAAGGGAATACTTCACCCGCAAATGACTGAATTTGTGAAGAAAACTTTATATCATGCCTCCACGGTGAATGAAGTATCTAAGAGAGAGAGAGAGAGAAAAAAGAGAAGATATTGAGTTATTGTGTCTGACTTGCACTAGCTCAGCTGGCTACTGAGTTAATGATCAGCTCAGCCACAGCAGCTCACCAACTAGCCCTGCAAGTATGGTCACTATGTCACCAAGACTCTGTATTTAAATATTTCACAGAGATGTGCGGCTTAATTCGGCCATATCACTTTGTGTTGGGATCAGACCTTGAGGTGGCACAGGGGAGCTCCAGCTTGTCAGGCTGTCGACAATCAGTCTTTTGGCTGTTCAGGAAGCAACAAGCTTTATAATAACTAGCTAGCTATAAACTGAATTAAACTTAACCTAACCTTTTTTATCAACATTTTGATAAAAAATACTAAAATTAAAACATTTAACAAGACCTGGAATTATTATACTTTAAATCTTGGGTCTTAAAATGTGTGTAAACTTCCTCTGTGAGCAGCAGACAGACCAGGTGCAGCTCTGCTTGTGCCAAGAATTGTCCTGGATCCTCCGATGTTTCTTGATACACCTGCAGTGATCTTGCTTAGTATATATTTCAGTTTGTCTTGTGTTGGACAGTAAAATAAGCAGCTGAGTTTTCTACTTTGCCTTTTGTTGCACTCAGGGTTCATCTCTCTCTCTCTCTCTCTCTCTCTCTCTCTCTCTCTCTCTCTCTCTCTCTCTCTCTCTCTCTCTCTCTCCCCCCCTATCTTTTAATCACAGAAGATTTGTACACAAGCTTCGAAATGAGGGCGTTGCCTTCATGACTTCCTGTTTTCTGAAATGTCCAAGCAGCAAATACAATCATTCCATCCAAAGAGAACTTCTCTGATTTTAAACGCATCGTATTTGTTAGGAGCTTTTATTTTGAAATCCCTCAGGTTTTCATGTTGAGATGCATTACTTTAGAAGAAGTGTGATTATTATTAAGCCATTCCTGCATGTTCCGTAGTGTCAGGAGAGTAGGAGGTGAGATTTGACTCAGGACATTTTGAGCACTTTTGCACCTTAGCCTTCTAATTCACAAGCCACATGGAAGCTCCCTGATTCCCTGCCCCTTCTTTTTTTATTGTTGTTAACAGCCTTTATTTTATGAATGTACCACTTGAAACTTCACTCCACGAATGTGTTTGTTTCTGACACGAATGCACCTGAGCTTAGCAAAGGAACCTCTAGAAAATGATCATTTTCAGTTATTTTGTTGTTTCAGTACAATGCCAAATAGGATGATCTCCCAAAACTTCATGTATTCTCTGCTTCTAGAGCCAAGCCTGATGGTGTTTTATGTTGTTATGATTCTGAGCATTTGAACATTTCAGCTGCAGGCAGGCTGACTGTGAAATAGTTAATCTTATCTTTTTGGTTTTCCTTTTCTACAATCCAGATGATGACTTACACTCCGATTAAAAATGAAACCACACAGCTTTTCGGTTAAGATGTTTGAGACTGTGACAGACAGGTGAATACCCTCTTTCCAAAAGCTGAAGGCAGGGCTGGGTATTTACAGTATCTTCTATACGTTTTTACTACCACCAGAAAATGTATCATTTGCATAGAGTATCGAAAGCTCTCATAAATGACCTGGTTAGATTTGTGACCTTGTTTCCAGATTCATATTTACACCAAAGTTTTGTTAATTTTAGACTTATTTTATTTAGGCTCAGTTATGGCACAAATGCTTGTGTTCAGATGTCATTCACTACTTAAAAAATGTGGCTTCTTTTGTCAAATAAAAAAATAGGTTGCGTAGAAAACTATAACCTGTATTTCTCAGATTAAGGTACTGACACTCCAGTATCATATCGGCACTATTTTCAAAATAATACCCAGCCCTAGTGGAGATTGGTGGTATATGCTGAATCACACAGAAGGTCTTTCAGAATGTCTTGGGAAAGTTTCAATATAACTCTATCTATCTAAAACAAGCTTATTTTCTAACATTTCACATTGTACCAGTTGGTTTTGACCAAAATCTCACCAGCTGCTTCACAACAAAGCTGCTCATTGGGCCTCATGCAATGTTATCTTACTCTTATCCTAAACTTGTCTGACTTGTCTTGTTTTTTGGTGAGGTTTTCTTGTTCGAGTGTTCCAAGTTTTGTTCGCCAAACACCAACTTGTTGTAAATCCCTGGTTTGAACTTGATGAATGTCACCTGTTAAAGAGGGGATGAGCTTTTGTGAGATGTGATCATTGATTGATGCTTCTACAATTGGTTCGCGTGTGGGTAACTTTCACACTGCAGAGCTCCAAATTCTGCTGTCAGAAAGAAGCACACAAAAACATATGTAATTTAGTAGTGTCATTGATAAATGACTCAAAAAAACAATACAGAAAAGTATAAATACAGCAGCCAATGACATTCCATAAGAGCGGCACCGTACTGGGACAGAAATAAGGATGGAATAGTGTGACATGAAGTTAGACACTAAAAACATCTTTCTAAAGCAAAGAGGTGCATGATTTAGATGGGAGGCAGTCAGGGAGACATGGTAGTCATTAAGAGAGAAAACTGTACAGTAATTGATGTCACACTATTAGTGAGATGGAGAATGTTCACCTGAACAGGAACCTACATAAAGACCCAGAGATAGCTGCAGGCATAACAGAATTTACCTGCTGAAATATGCCAATAAAATCTGTACATTGGTAAGCCACAGTGATGATATGGTGAACAGAATATTAATTTTGCATCATGTTATTTTAATCATGGAATTTTATTTCAGTTTATTACGTATCATCTTTAAACTCCAAATTCACTGAGGTTAACACATTATGACTCTTGTTTCATAAGTCTGAAAACAAGTGAATTCAACAAGTTTTCTTTAATGGCTTGTACTTGACGCTTAGGAAGGAACACCACCTAAATTGAGAATTCCAATATGTTATTTCCATGGCCTAGTAAAATTTGTTCAATATTTGTGAACATGAGCCTCTCTCTCTCAAAGCCAGTAACCAGAGAAGGAAGACTCAGTGTCATCTAGAACAGTGGTTCCCAACTGGTCCAGCCACAGGGTCTAGATTTCTCCTTAGTCATTAGTTTGAGGTCCACACAGTTTAATTCATTCAGCATTATACTTTCGCTTGGCCACATCGTTTGCTGTCTTTGTCAAGTAGTTGTCTGTTAGTCACTCAGTCGCTCTGTGCCTGCTATTCACTGTACTTTAAAATAAAGTGTGTTTTTTACAAACTTGACACATTTGCGAGTCACATGCAGTTCATTCAGAATGGGTCCATGGCCCACTTTTGGAATGCGACCCACCAGTTAGGAACCACTGATCTAGAACATCTTTCCCAGTTCATTTGGTGCTTGTCACAGTCAAGGAAGGATCGTTAAGTGGCTGAATTTCAAGGCTACATCGTCATAGACATCTAAAATGCCAATATATAACAACTTATTTTCCCAATAACCAATACCAAAATTGATATATCCACTTTTTTGCCCACCTAATTTTAGTGATCATCAGGACCCTTCTGTGGTGAAATTATCATCATATTATGCATACATACTCTTATTGTGATGGCCCACCAGCAGATGGAGACATAAAACAGAATGCTTTTCAATGTATGTAATATTCAGTCATTGTGAAAAATAAGAAAAAGCATGTTGACCAGTTAATTTTAAAGCCAATACTGGCAGATACTGATGATGTACCGAAATTATCAGGATGTTGGCAGATTCCCATAGTTTATTTTAAAGCCAATATCGACTGATACCGATGATGTGCTGATATTATCTTGCATCCCTATTTATTATTATTTTTGGACTGTTTAAGACCATAGGAACTGCATTCAAAAAATTGGTGTAGTTCCCCTTTCAACAAACAATCTGTTGGTACATGTGGTTCTTGCATGAGGCCCAACGTCTTACTTTCCTTTAAAGTTCATGGATGCACAAGGAACCAGAGGGAATTCATAGGCATTGATAGGCTGTTTTTTCACATGCCTATTGGAGAGTGTTAGACCCAGGTATGGAGGACATGTAGTTCTGTAGTGAAGCAGTTCTCATGATTTTGATCACCATTGAGTGGTATGATTGGATGCAAAGTCCTAACGTTGGTAACAGGCAGTTATTTGATTATTCCAGAGGAAGCAACACAGCTGGCAGCTTAGAGGCATTCTGGACACACTAATAGGAAAACAGGGTTGTTGCTGAAGCTTGAGCTGAGCTCACATCAAGTGTCCTCAGTTTCCCTGGCAACACTGTCCTCTCTTCAGGTCCAGGATGTCCCAGCTGCTGGCTCTGTCACAAACCTCTCTAATGCTTTTACTCAAGTGAAGGGTGGTGAATTGTGATCTTTGGTGTTTGGTGATCCCCGCCCTGTGAGGATACTGTGTGTCCTTTAATTTGTTCGGACCACCTGTTGGCCACCAGTTCTGTTGTATACACACCAGTCATCATCCTAAAGTAATCACTGAACCTCTGGGCTTGGAGTGTGGAGAGTCCACAGACATAAAGCCATGCTGTTAATTTTATTGTCTTTTTACACCACAAACTTGTCGCTTTTTTAAAAAATATATATGAAGTTATTGGTCTAATCGACTCACCTGAGATGTGTGATGATCTAAAATGTTTCATGCTCACTGGCCCAAAGCTTTCTCTGCATGGAACATAGAATAGGTTGTGAGAAACAAACCTGAATCGAAATTCTGACATCCATAAAGTTAAAGCAAAATTCATATTCGTATAAAAAGGAGCCAAAAAAGAAAACCTGACAGATGTTTTCTGGTTGGGTCCTATGTACCACAACTATGATTGACCACACAGAGAGAGCATTTTGGTCCACGTTCTGACCCCACTATGGTGTGACCCAGAGCTGTTGATTATACAATACATTATATATTGATAAATATATTGATTAGAAGCATTGTATAATCGTGACTGTGCTGTGGGTGTTGTCTTGTATGTACAGTAGCAGCGTAATGCTACAGAGGTGCCTGGTTCACCAACCCCTGTTACAGTTTTTCAGTAAAAAACAGCTAAAGCTCAAAAAGGTGTTTGTGACTTGGAGTCTTATTTGTGTTCTCCAAATAACACTGATGTTTATGTGTCTGTTAACTACATACACAGGAACACCATTCATGTGGAAAATCTCTTTTAAAGGGTACATTTCCAACCTGGACCCTATTTTCCAATGTATTTGTGTCTAAATGACTTACGAGAACAACAATCTTGGAAATTGGTTCAGTATTTAGTAAAGGTGGGAATCACCGGAGGATCCACAATAGATATTAACACAATACTTTAGTCACAATACACTACTGCAAATTTAAAGGAGACCTATTATGCTTATTTTCAGGGTCATATTGATATAAATATGTGATATTGGGGTCTAATGGAATAGATTTATGTGCTTCAATGTTCAAAACAAACATTTGCCTTGTAGTGCTCATTGATGCAGCACCTCTGTCTGAAAGGCTGTGTTTAGGCTTATGTCCCGCCTCCCCAGCAGCCCAGTCAGCTCTGATTGGTCAGCTTGCTCAGTCTGCTGTGATTGGTGCAACGCTTACAGAGCTTCTTAGCTCTGTTATGCCTGGTTCACACTACACGATATTTCTGCCCGCTCTGAAAGTCACTATGTCACATTAGGCGATTGTGGAGTCATAAAATCATGCCATGACTTGGCCAACAGACATGACACACTACACGATGGTTCACACCAATTATCCCCGGTCGTCTTTCACAACATATGTGATGTCATTGGGTTATTCATGTCCTATTTTTTTTATTATTGCTATTATTTCAGTCACTGTGTCTGTTCATGTGCCAGCTGAAATGCTGTAGTAATGTGAAAAAGTGCCAGCAGATGTCAGGAGCTAAATTTGAAATAGCGTATGCAAACATACAAGTCACTGAATCCTCCACAACAAGTTCCCACAAATGTTTCACAATAAAAGCCTTTTCTAGAATATGAAGGGATTCTCTCAAAGGAAGTTATAAAGGGCTTTTAATTTGAAACAGATACAGGAAGTGTTGAGTTTGAAATGACGGCGCGATGCATTAACTTTATCAAAGCAAACGGGAGCAGATAAAAAGTAAATACATAAAAATACAGAGGGAATAATAAATAACGGCCCTTTTATAATATAGTCTGTTTCAAATTAAGCTGGTAGCCTCTGTAGTTGTGGTGAGTAAATGCCCTGCCACCATTTTTAATTTTCTTACCTTATGTCCATCTCCGTTATGAAGAGATACCATTGTTTGCTAGCGTGATGCTAATGGCAGTACACACCAGGTTGATAAAGTTCCTCTGCTGTTTCATGCTGGCATCTTTCCATTTTTACTCTGTGTGGTAACATCCCTAGAGGAAATATAAAAAAGGCTGGGTGTTGTTGTCATACAGTTCTCCACAGCAGCATTTTGCACTGTGTTCCTATTGGTCAAAGCGACACTGTGATGGGTGAAGTCGTGAATGACAAAAAGAAAATCAAACATGCAACAGACTTTCTGTTGGAACGTTGCGAGGCGTCCCAGACGTGGCGTTGGTTGTCGTCTACTATGACACACTACACGAGAAGAAACGATGGATTATTGCGTCGTTCACAATCCATGCTGATAGCGTACTTCGCTGCGTCGGGCTAGAATCGGGCTGATATCGTGTAGTGTGAACCTGGTATTAGATTCTCCACAATTTAATCATTAAATTCATCTGCTGAGACTAGCAGTGTAACTTAATGTGCACCGTGTAGCAAAAGCGTTACAAAACAATAGCTTTGGTTTGCCAGTTAGCCGAGACCTACAGCTATAACGCTGTGTAAAACACCAAGGAAAAGGGAGAAAGCATAATAGGTCCTCCGTAAAAGTTGATACACTATCAAACTCTGAGTACAGCCACACATTTTGACAAATAAATGCATCTCTTAATTCCACTGGCAGTAGCTGCTTAGCTCAGGCATCACACATACAAGTGTTTCAACTTTTGTCAATATGGACATGCTGCACATTAAGCTCTGTTCGATTCTCCACAATTCAGTCATTAAATTCATCTTACTGACACCACCGAGCTAGCAGTTTAACTTACTGTACACTGAGTAGCAAAAGTTTTTTAAACCATAGTTTTGGTTAGCCAGTTAGCCGAGGCCTACAGCTAAGCACTGGGTGTACAGCGTAACGTTAGCTCCTACAGCCATCTACTCCACGCTTCAACACTTGGTAGCAGCTTCCTAGTTTGTTTTTACACAACAAATTCACAACTCATAAAGCATACTTACAGGTTGTGATCCTGAATCTCCAGATTTGTCCAACAAAGGGAACTGCCCCATCTTTCAGCAGTAACTGCTGTGAAAATCCAGCAGTAAACTGTTGGCAGTTTGTCAAGCAGTCCTCAGGAAAATAGAGGGAACACAATAAAATGTCTGGGATGTATTGTGGAGGAATTGTATCAAAAATAAATTCCAACCACTTCTTCGTTGTTCCTTTGTCCGGAGCAATGTGTTTGGGGGTGCGGCTCAGTGGCCGGCAGGCGGACACTGTGTGCCATGCTAATTGCACATTGTTATGAAATACATTCGCAGAAGTAAAGGCGGGAAATTCAAACGAGCGGTTTCAAGCAGGTCAGGATCTGTGTGTCTGTGCTGAGACAGAACTCCCTTTAGACTGGACTTTTTTTTTTTCTTTCTTTTTTTTTCCTACTTAACAGACCTTATAGAGGCAAAAATGCTATATAACACACTAAAGAAGAGGGAAAACTCCAAAAAGCATAATAGGTCCAACTACAAATTATGTCCCCAAAGGAAAACTTTGTCAACATCTGTTGTATCTAAGAAGGTAAAGTTTTCAGTCCGTTCATCTCACTTAAGCAAAATTTATATAGTGGACTGAAAAAGCAATTGATTATATTATTCTGGTAGGTTACCTAAAGTTTGATTTGTATTTTTATTATTACTAACTTGAATATTTAAATAATTGATACTTGGCACTGTGTGACAATACGATATTGCCACACAAAAAATATCGCGATACCATGCTGTATCGATTTTTACCCCCCACATCTAGTATTCAGTGACAGCGCTGCAGCTGGCAGCCATGAAACAGGCTACAGTGTGATCACTCTGGCATGTTCATATGTCTACAAGTTGATTGTTTTAGCTGCTGGCAGGCTCAGATTGTCATTCTAAGTGTCAACATGAAAGAATCCCTACAGAGATAGACCTTTTTGTAAAAGAATAAGATCATTTTTGCTTAACCACAAACAGCCCCGAAATCGCCATCACCAGTCCCACCATTCTCCATTTAAATTAACAGTTTTTTTGTGTGTATAGAGCCAGCATATTTTCACATCTAACTGGGTGAATTAAGGGTTTATTTCAACCAAACCAGAGGTGGGAATCGTTGGAACAGTGGAAAGACAAACCAAGATGGATTTGTGAGTTTTATTCTGTTTCTGTCAACTTTGAATGACGTGTTTTATGATATTAAAATTTCTGTTTTTTGAAATGGTGTCTGGTGGGATGGCTGTTTCAGCTGCCAGCCGGCTGCCAGTCACTTCCCAGCCAGTTAATAGTCAACTCCCAACCACTTGAAGACCCCACTCCTCCAGGTCGTGTCTCAATTCCACTGTGACATGCATGATCTCATTCCAGCTAAGGGCCTAGCAGGGATCTGCCATGGATCTGCCTGGGCCCCATCATGGAGGAATGGGGAATTGTAAATAGCTGCATCTGTAAATACAGTCAATTTACCATTCTTCTAACAATCTACATCCTCAGTTCAGGGCTGGGTCAACAGCTCCGACACAGGGTCAACAAACCCTTTTCACAAATTATTACAAAGATTGCATTACATTTTGCAAGTGTATCTTATTTTGCCAAACCCCAAATATTTCAAAATATTCATTTGGCAGATTATAATATATCAGTGCAGAGGCTGAGGTAGCTGCTAGTGACCAGCAGGGGGAGATGTTGGAGCAGTTGCACGTTGCTTCAGCACAAGAGTCCATCCTGCAGATATGACTGAATAGTTCACTCATAAATGTGTTGATAACATTTTAATATTACAAAATGATGGAAAAAAAGAATACTTTGGGGGAGAGCACTTTTTAACTGCATTTGCACCAGCTGTGGTGCAAATGCACGCACACGCGCGCGCGCACGTACGCGCGCCTCCTCCTATCTGTACAGCTCGTTTTCTTCCCCCTTTCCAGCCCGCTGGCAGTGAAATGTTGCCGGACCTGGGTGCAACATGAGCGGGCCTCAGCCCAGTGAATTCCCGGACGACTGGGAGCAGCTCGAGCGGTGTGTGAGCGTCCTGAGGCGGAGAACCCTGCAGGCCAGCGAGCTGTCCGCTGTCAGGACCTTCTCCGACCAGTTTCTCATCAAGTTTCTCCGGGCCAGAGACGGGGACGTGGAGCTCTCCCTGAAGGTACAGCATGGTCCGCTACAGGACATAACACACAGTGAGAGACTCAGAGTACATGAGGGTGCAAGGGCTCATATCGAGTTTGTAAAATACAACTAAACTGGGACTTTACAAAAGTTTATGGAGGCTGTTCTTTGTACCTTCCACAGGGATTGCTGCAGTGTCTGTACATTATCATTACCGATCTCAAGAGGCAAAGCTATTATGCAAACAGTGAGTGTGTTAGTCCTACTCTTTAGGTGTATTTGACCAGTGAGTGAGACATGTTTGGACGGTTTGGATTTATTGAAATAGGGTTCGGGTTTAATGTGTACAGTATCAGTGTTTACACTAATGGACTATTCCATGCCCCCGATCAAAAAAAGTTATTATGACTTTCATTATTAATAGTAATTAATAATAATATTAATAGTAGTAGTAGTAATAAGCTACAGCTGATTTTCACATGCAGCTGGTATAAAGTCAGTGTCAGAGCAGTTTAAACAGAGCAGTTAAAAGTGAGATGTTGAGATACATTTATCCGAGCACCTAAGTACAATTTTCAAGCCACTTTATCAAAACCTTTGTACCACAATTCAGGCAAATGATAGGCTATATTTACTACCCTATTATATTATTTAACAGCTAGGCCTGTTTCAGCTTGAGATTTTTTTAGATGAATCTACCCAATTTAACGCTGATTATAGTGATTATAATCAAATTACATTTTATTAATATAAAGGTAAAACACTCACACATAGGTGTAGATTTCAGGTGCAGGGGCCTACTTTTGATACTTCAAATGGGCCTACACTTTGCTATATTTACATGTGGCAGAGGTTTTCAAGACCACCCTGTGACTTTCTGGCTGAGCTCTGTCATTGAATTTGAATGAGATGGTTGTGTTTTTTTCACAGTGTGGACACAGCCTTTAAAACTAAAAGACAGCTTTTTTTGAAGGACTTCTTGTATGTTCTTGGAATAATAAAATAAACTAAACCCTCATCAATGAATAACTACCATAAAGCGTCAGTTCAGGCAAATTACTAACAAATTTCACAACTATAGTTGTCTAGCACTTGAACTAGCAAATGCAGATAGTTTCCATTTATGGCAAGACCAGAACTATCTATCAAAGAAATAGTGAACACTGTTGACAGACATTTTGACATGTCAGGGTAGCAAAAGCACGGGTGTAAATGATAAAATGAATGTTGGCTGGATTTCAATGAGCTGCTTTAGTTTCAGGGTCCTTGTGTTGTGCATGCTGGTCCCCTGTTATGCTATGATGGCTTACTGCGACACTTGAATAAAACAGAGTCATCGTAGTTAGTAACACCTGGGCTTTTCCTACTATGACAAGTCTAAATGTGTGCTGTCAAAAGGCCTGTAAGACAACTAAAACACTAAATGCTATAGAGCCTAAAACTGTTCTTTGTACCAGGCTGTAAACATGTTTATTTCTGCTGTAAAGTTGGGCATTTTAACATGAGGGACTATGGGGATTGACTGGGTCCTGGAGCCAGCCTCAAGTGGCCGTTAGAGGAACTACAATTTTATGGAATTCCGCGTTGGCTTCATTCTTCTGCAGCCAGAGATTGCTGCTTGGTTTGAATGTGTGAGCACATTATCCATGAGCGTACATCGTCATAGCCAGACAATTAGAATGAATGTTGAGCAGACATTGACCTGTTTGCCGTGGTCATTTGAATAATCAGTCCCTCCAGGATCTCAAGGCAAAAAACCCTTGAATTTGCGACCAATTTTGTCAAAAATTACGGCATCTTTATGTGATTTTTTTTTTTTTGTGGGAAATTGCAGCAAATGACAAAAATTGTGATTTTTATTTTTTAAACTACTACCTCCAAAAAAATAAGTCATGTAATCACTTGCCATAATAATCATACTGAATTTTACAAAAATAGCTGCAAATGTTTTTATAGTTCTCTTCTTTAGTTTTATTGTATTAGTTTCAAAACAGGGACTCCAATAATCCTGAGTGAATATTGTAGCTCTCAAACCAGACAATGTGGCTGTAAAACAACATGTAAGCTACATCTTCTGCAAACATAACATTTTAATGAATTCAACGGATATTGTATGCATTTAAACAGTGGAAATTCTTATGTCAATACAGACCGTTTCTCCACACTGCAGTGCGATTAGCGCGATTTAATGACGCATGTGATGACGTTTCAAATGACATTACATGCTTGATGACTTCTGGTCAGCCGGAAAATGCAGAAAAACGCGGAAAAATGGCGGGACTTTTGAAAAATTGCAAGCCCCCGCAAATGTTGCAGACTTTAGTTGAATTTGCGTTAATTATTGCGATCGCAATTTTCTGGAGTGACTGAACAATACAGAAAAAGGTGATTGTTGTTGTTGTCAGGGCTGAAAATGAAGTCAACATGGAAGTGCCCAAAGCTGCAGTTCATCCAATGGCCACTTGAGGCTGGCTCCAAAATCATTCAATTCCCATAGACCCCCATGTTAAAATGCACAACTTTACAGCGGAAATAAACATGTTTACAGCCTGGTACAAAGAACAGTTTTAGGCTCAAAGCTATTATGAATTTGCACTTGTTTAGTAACAAATATCAAAGATAGAGGCATAAATTAAACTAGTAAGTACATACTGTAGCTGTGTATGTTCGTTAAGGCCTAAAGTTATGCATAATTAAGGGCGTGGACACTTTGAGTGACAGGCTGTCTGTGAGGCATCACTATAGTCTATAAGTCAAAATCACCCCTTGCTCCTCCACAGCTCCACCCTCTTGTCCAAATATGGTCACTTCTGGCTCCAAAAATCCAATATGGCAATGGCTGTAATGCTAAACTTCAGGCTTCAGAACGGGAGTCTACAAACCAATGAGTGACGTCATGATAGCTATGTCCATTATTTCATACAGTCCAAGGTGACAACACAGATAAGTGGGGCCGTCAACAAACACGCAATTAATGGCAACAAAAGAAACAGGGAAATGGCATGGTAATATTTTAAAAGTAATGGATTGCTTATTTAAAAACGTAATGTTATTACTCCACTGTGAAGCCACACCTCAGTGAGTGTGTGACTTGGCACAAGTGGAGTCATACATTTATACAGAAGTTAGCCAGCTACATTGCTGTTGCAAAGCAATGATTGCATAAAAATGGGTGTCATTCTGGCCATCCTGCTACGCTGATTTGAGTGGGAATGTCCATTCTATTATCATTCTATTTCTATGGCCACAGCTACTGTGAATTTTCTCATGTTTATTAACAAATATAAAAGATAGAGACATAAATTGAACTAGTAAGTACATACTGTAGCTGTGTATGTTTGTTTGCTGCCTCCTTGCACCTTCTCACTCCAACCGACAAATACCAGAAACACATCGGCTGTATTCAGTCATTAAATCATACAGCTCAGACAAACAGACAGTCTTTTGCTCAAGTACTTTTGTCCTGGTTGGCCAGTAGCTGATTAAGTTGCCTTGAATACTGTGTTTAAAACACTCCAACTATGAAAAGGGGGAACCAGGAGGTGTATTTGTTTCAGACTATATTCAGTAAATAGGTGTACAGTGTGTGTTGTATACAATACTTACAGAGACTTTATCATACTTCATAGTATTGTTGTTGCTGCATTATTACTAATGTATTTTTTAGGGCTGATTGTAAAATGACAATAGTGTTTTAAGTGAGCATGTTGAGCCTGTCAGTGTAGGTCACACACAGATCTTGGCTCAAGAGTAAAACTTAGTTGCTAATTTTCATTTGAAAGCAGTTGGAGCTCACCCAACTGGGCCTAAGCTCAGCAGTCTGTGCTGTGACTTGAATCACAGATACAAGTGACTCAAATTTGAACCACACAAATAGTTCTCTGAATTTGCTTTTCCTACAACCTCATATTCTTATTTCCTGTTTGATCTGCAGCAGCAGATCAAACAGGAAATGAGGGCTTGGCACAGATAACAGGACAGATTAAAGGTTAGCTATTAGACCAATTTATATTTGTCAACTCCTGCAAGCTTATAACACAATATTTTCTTTAATGCACCAGTGTTTCAACTGTATTAGCGGGTGATGATAGATAGAGTAGAATCCTCTCTATTTCCTGATGTCCCTAAATGTTGCATGTGTCCTGTGCAGCTCTTACTGAACTACCAGCGGTGGCGAAGGGAGAGTCCTGAGATCAGCAAATGTCTGTCCCCCTCCTCGGTGCTTGGCCTCCTCAACACAACGTACCACACCGTCCTCCCACAGCGGGACCACACTGGCAGCAGGGTGCTCATCTACAGGATTGGTCAGTATACCAAGTATTGACAGAGTTCTGGTGGGATACCTTAAAACTTTTATTAAAAGCCTGGTCCAAATTAAACACCCAGTCCCTTTTACTAGCCCACTGTAGCTAAACATTTTGACAAATAAATGCCTGTCTCTATTAGTGAACTGGTCTAGTTCTTTGGATGTATAATACCAAGTTGTTGGCTACCCACTTGGCTACTTCCTCTGAAGCTGTCCTAAAGTCAGAATATGTGTCCATTCCTCGATTACCCAGTGAGATGTTCAGATTTCTTTAGTCCATGAGTCAACACTGATCAAAAGAATCAAAAGGTTTTTTCCACAAAATCCAATCTAAGCTGTGAATATTGTTTTAATAGGATAAAGTGTTGTGTGGGTATGCCAGGTGCTGTAATCCTTGAAGGTGCGGACACACCAAACCGACACCAAAGAACTAGCGGCGATAAAAGCTGACTAACCCGTCGTGTACATCGCCTCACGTCGTCCTGTGTCAGTTGCATTTGAACACACCACTCGAACTACATCCGACGGCCAAGTAGCACGTACGTTCTGCGCCTGTGTGAGAGAGAGCGGAGTGAGAGAGTGGTACATTTTGACAGCTGAGGGGTTTCCTATCTGTGCAGCCGAGCACCGCAGCACTTCCACGGACTATTACATCCAGACGCTCCCCGTGTTTCCTCCACAGGCTCCACTTCACTCAACTTCACTCAGCTGCCCGACAAACCCGCTGCTTCTTCCCACTTTAACCTGAATAACAAACCAGGGCTCGGTGCTCCGGTTGGATCCAAACGGAGAGCCGGGGCTAGCTGGAAGGCTAGCGGAGGCTAACTGGCTGTGCTTCCCTCCGGTCACGCTGCGGCTAGTGCTCTGCTAGCCGCTCCCAGCTAGCTCCAGTTTGTTATTCAGATTAAAGTGGGAGAGGCAGCGGATCTGTCGGGCAGCTGAGTGAAGTGGAGCCTGAGGAGGAAGCACCGGTTAGCCCCGGTTAGCCCTGGTTTCACTACAAGCAGATTCACTCGCTACAGGGGCGAGGAAATAAAACCTGAACAGCCAATCAGAGTGACCTCTCTCACTGACAAGCTCCGCCGCTGATTCAACATGCTCAATCGGCCAAAAAGCCGCAGACGCTGAAGTGCCGACGGTGCGGGACACACCGCAAAAACTAGGACGACAGCCGCTCACCGACGGCCCGACTTTGGTTGTCAGCCGACCGTCAGCTTGGTGTGTCAGGGCCTTAAGTGCCATGTAACAGTGTCATAACGCTCACTCTCTCTCTCTCTCTCTCTCTCTCTGTGATGCCCTTTCTGTTGGAGCCAAATCAGATGACTGATTTGTACTGATATTTTATTTTAAGTCTAATTTTTATAGTAATTTCAGTTTTTGGTTCATATAAACAATTTGATCATATTTCCCGTCTTTGCTGAGCAACAGTTTGGTGTGAAAGGCCTGTCACATATAGACGCCTGTCCCATTTATGTCCTTATTGAGTTCAGTGATTTAAGCAAATAATAGCCCGGGCTATTAATTGAAGTTTTACAGTGGCTTATTCTTCTTTTTTGAGGTTTAACAGGTGCTGGCACTCCTGTTGCACTCTGCTTTCTTCTATAGTTATTTAGTCATAGTCGGTGTAGTCTTGTCATCATGACTTTACTCTCTGCTGCATATTGTCTGTAAATTAAAAGCACAGACTCTTTGGTTTCAGAGTCTTTATATTCACAAAAAACAGTCAGATCCTTCCCTATAATGTTATAAAGTTTGCTCGTCAAATTGCTTTTCTCAATTTGGTCATTGTTAATTCTTCTATTGTATCGCTTCCTCCACTTTTAAATTTTGATGTAAAAAGAGGTCAAGTCAGTAAGAAAATGACTGTACTTCTCACTTGATTTAATATCTTAGTAAAGATTTTACTAATGAATTCGTGGTCTTAGTTGCTAGTTTCAAGTGTTCTTCACAACAGTAGGATGTTTATTTTGTAGATTATGATCTCATTTACAGAAAAAAGATGACAAAGCAGGGTATGCTTCAAGGTGTGGCTACCTTGTGATTGACAAGTCACTACCACAGCGACCTGTTAACTAGGATAGAAGTGTAGCATTGCCTACCCTCCCCAGCTCCACCCTCTTGTCCAAATATGGTCATTTCTGGCTTGTAAAAAATAAGATGTTGGCAGCCAAAATACCAAACTCAAGGCTTCAAAACCATAGTCCACAAATCAATAGGGCTGCAACTAACTGTTATTTTCATTGTCAATTAATCTGTTGATTATTTTCTCAAGTAATCGATTAGTTGTTTGGTTGTTTTGTTTTGGCCTGATTTATAGATCTTGGACTTTTTTTTCTCAAAAATTTACTCAAAATGATTAATCTATTATCAAATTAGTTGTCGATTAATTTATAGGAATAGTGTTTTGGATTTAGTGGTATCTAGCAGTGAGGATTGCAGATTGCAACCAGCCGAAACTTTTCCTGTGCACCAAGCATGAATTCATGGTTAGAATTCCATAAATGTTCATTGTTCAGTAGGTTTTTGCCAGGAGCTGTATTATCTGCAGAGGACTCTTCTAAAACAAACGGACTGGGCGATTAATACCAATGAAAAACTGCAATTTCATGTTGCAAGTCAGTGTTTCTCCAACGCTATTAAACGTGTCGCAGAAGGAGTTCTAACTATGGAAGCCGATGTGAAAATGCGAGTGTCCCTATCTAGAGCCAGCCTTAGGTTTGTGCATTCTGGGCTACTGTAGAGCTATGGCAGTGCAACATGGTGATGTCTGGGAACAAGAACCCACTCCCTATGTAGACACAAACGGCTCATTTTAAGGTAACAAAAACACAACAATTCTTATTTTCAGGTGATTTTCCACCAAAGAAAACATATATATTGTACTCCATTTCTGCCAATATATCCCCCTAACTTCTACACACTGGACCTTTAATAGTTGAAGACTAATTTACTAATTGCTTAATCATTTCAGCTTTACAAACCAATGGGTGACATCACTGTGGCTACATCCACTTCTTTTATACAGTCTATGGGAGAGAGACCCATGATTGTAACACTCTACCAGTCTTGAATGCCATAGACAACATTTGTAGCTGATGTACTAATGCCAGCCAGTGCGGTGAGTGTGTAGCTACATACTGGTGCTTTACTTGACCTAGCCTGTTGACAGTTTTAAAACCATGAAAAAACCAGTTCATGAAAGTACAGGAACACGTTTGTCTTGCAGGACAGTGGAACCCAAAAGACTGGTCAGCCTTCCAGGTGTTCAGGGTCAGCCTGATGACATCAGAGATCATCTCCACGGAGACAGAGACACAGAGACGTGGTCTGAAGGTCATATTTGACCTGCAGGGGTGGAGTTTAGGCCACGCCCTGCAGATTAACCCTTCCCTTGCCAGAAAGATATCCTCTGTACTTTCGGTGAGCTCATGCTTCAGGTTATGTGCTACAAAGCCGGACACTTAACTCTTCATATTGTGCTATGCTTCATGTGGGTCCATCATAACATTTTGTTGCTATACAGATGACACCCAAAGCTAATCAAAAAATTTTTACCAAAAAAGGGAGAACTTGAGGTGTCATCTAAACACATCTAACAGCATGTTGCAATTCAGGCAGGACATTTAGATCTTATCAGTGTAAATTTCCAGTTAAAACAACACACCATTTAAGAGTCACTTAAACTCATTATTTCTTTAAGACATAGTAGTTGTGCATGCATTTGCTTCAAAGTGGCTCGATTATTGTAATGTGTAGCTTTTAGATCTGCCTAAATACTCTATTACACTATGTCCTAACTGGATGCAAGCATCAGACTATTGCGCCGTATCACGTTACATCGGACACTCTCTGTCTGTGGATCTGTTAGCTGTGGCCTCAGAGTTGAGAAGTTGGGTGAGTACATACTTCCTTATTATTCATATTCACAACAAAACTATCACAGGTAACTTATAGATATCGCTGTTGTAGCTCCCATATTATATCATACCACCATGTCCACTTTGTAAAACAAGCTAACTTGCTAGTAAGTAAGTAAGTAAGTAAATTTATTTATATAGCACTTCTCACAGAGAGGACTCACAAAGTGCGTCCTCTCTGTGAGAAGTGCTATATAAATACAAGATTTTTACAAGATAAAAAATTGCTAGCATCCCACACACTTCTTACCAGAAACCTTCATCCTCCTGATGATCTCCCTCCAGCCAGATGCCAACTTATTGAGGTTTTTGTAGTAAAATAAGGAGGCATCATGTAGGTAACTCCTCATTTAAACCTTGTGAAACAGCCATTCCTCATCCATCGAGGCACTTCCAGCAAAAGCAACAGATTAAAAATAGAAACAGGGTGCCTGACAAAAGTTCAGCTCAAAGCGGCACGCCGTTTTGCGCTGCATCATGTCAAATTGCTCACAGATAGTTAGGACCATCCAATAGAAATGCAATACAATACAATACAATACAATGCAATCAAACTCATTTAGTCGCTGATGTACGCACACTCACTCGTGTCGCATCCAGTTAGGACACGGTATTAGACAGTGACAGGAAAGAAAGAAATGTTGAATGAAGAGTTTATCTTAACCGTGGCCTCAACCAATCAAAAGCAGTAATTTTTAGTTAAAACAAACCTTTAAGGAAATGTGGCCTTTTTCCGCAGCCTTATTCTTCCCAACATACACTATTAGAACACTTAGTATTATTATTTCTTTCCACCTTCTATAATCAGAAGCATTTCTGAGATCTGGTTGAAGCATAGAATCTTATTTACTGTAAACAAGAGTGATCCCTGTCTTCTTGCTGCAGGAAACACATGGAGACTGTGGCAGTAACAGCACACTCAGTTAATACAAATCGCTTCAGTGCTCCTTGTCATGCAAATGTGTTCATCTGACCTGTAGGGATGAACAGCATTCTTTCTTTCAGACTGGTTATGATGGTGAAGTCTGTAGCATATGATTGACATAATTTCTATACTCAGCAAACCAGTCAGTGAGCCCTCATGCTCTAGAAGGTTTGTTATGTTTCTTCACTCTTTAATCCAGATTTTTCCTTTAACATGTCACTCCTCTGTACATGACAAAAAATTATAGGCACAATCTACTCAGTTAACTTTTTTTACCTTTATGCAGAATGCCCTGTACTCATCATTGGGAATATATGGATTGACCCATTTGTGGCTTGACCTTTTAGACATTTTTACATTGCTGTGCAGTTTCTTGCAACCCTTGCACCATAGCACAACTCTAATGGTGTGTTTACAGATAACGCAAAGCAAATTTTTGCCTCACTTTATTGCATGAATGTGACCACTGGAGTATTGTTGGAGTATTTCACAACTGGTGAATGTTGGTCCTTAACAGCAGTGCTAACAGATGTGTTAACTTACTTGGGAAGGTAGCTAATTGCTAACTTCTTCCGTCTCTGTACAGTACTGACATTGATTCGTAGAGCTCTGGTTGCCTACAGACAGCAACAATAACTTTGTCCTACATTTGTGATTCTCAGTAACATTGGCAATCTCAACCAGATCTCAATGCTTTCCAGCTTGAGATAGCATTCTCACTTAAGTTGAAAATTTACAACTTGTGCAAATATGCAAATGGGGCAAATTTTGCAGCATTCATGTCACCTGGTTTAAATGTGCGTCTTTGCTCCGAGTCTGTATGTAAACATTTGTTTCCTGTTTGGTGTGAACATTAGAGTGATGTTTTGCAGGGTTTGACATGACCATGGTTTGATTGATTGTTTGCTGGACCTACATTGCTTTATAGACCTGTTTGGCTGACCAAGTAGTGAGCTTGTTCAGTTTGTTTCACAGCTGTCTTTATTTGTGTGTGTTTGCATGTTCAGGACTCTTTCCCACTGAAAGTTAGAGGAATCCATCTGGTTAATGAGCCGATGCTCTTCCGGCCAGTCTTCTCCATGATTCGTCCATTCCTGCCAGAAAAGATCAAACAGAGGGTGAGCAGCCTGTTACTCACACACATCACTCTGATCACACTAACCTCTGTTCTTAGACTGTCTTTTATTCAAAGTGGAAATTCTTGAAGAAAGACACTTTATGAATGAGGATCAATTTGCAGCCTTGCAGGACTTAATTGAAAACACAGCAAACAAGCTTTGAACATACTTTTAAAACCCAGTTCCCTCTCTCCTAATTGTAGATCCACATGCATGGTGCTGATTTTCAAGACACTTTAAGCGACTTCTTCTCAGCGCCCGTCCTGCCTCCAGAATATGGAGGGGAGGGGCCTAGCATAGAGGAGGTGTGTCAGGACTGGACCAATCAGCTGCTTGAATCAGAGGAACTCCTGCAGCAGATTGCGAATCACCCAACAGGTGACATCACTGTTACTCCTGAGGACTCCTTGATCTCAGAGGAAGTGCAGACTGAGCAACTCTCTGAGGGATGATGTTTGGAATGTTCACATATACGCACTGCTGTTTTTTAGTGTGGATGAAAACACACACACACACACACACACACTGACAGCCATTTTTGAGGCCCTAACTCTTGAAGTTGTTAACTGCGTCAAGAGAGCTGTCAGTGCTTTAAAACTTTTCAGCGCTTGTCTATCTGGTTGACTTTGTGTTTACATGTGTCAGCTGTCTTCTGGTTACATTGCTCCTTGAAATCTGAACAAAGGCAGAAGTTACATCCTCTATTTTAAATATGCTTTCTTTTCAAGAGTGACATGAAGATATTGATGTCAATCTCATGTCTGTATTCTAAGTACTGAGTCTGAAGGTGTGTCGTGTACTTCCGTCAGTATACTTCCATGTAGTACACTATGTACTTCTTGCACGGTGTACTAATTTCAACAGGGTAGTGTTGTCTCAAATCACATACTGCTGTTTTACACTTACCTGAAGTGACAACGGCCCTTCTTCTTCTTCTTCTTTGTCTTGTTTTTTAAACGGTGAATTGCAAATTGATGGTGGAGCATTATTGCCAACATTTGACCTATTGGCTTCTATTCAACAACAGTACTGGTAATTAGTAGGGCTTATGTATATATATATATATATATATATATATATATATATATGTATATATTTTTAGGCTATATATTGATACACAATATATATCTTGATATTTTTAAATCTCCTTGAGGCAAAATCTAACATAACAATATTTCTGACCAAATACCCTCTCTGATGTGACAAAATATGGTGATGATTATTGTTTTTTTTGTCAGAAAATATTAACACAATTGAGATTTCTGATCAATAATCTTCAGTAATGTGGATATAACAACTAAGTGTGTTAAGGCAAACATTAAAACAAATAGAATAGTCTGGTAAGTTAATATATGTGCATCATTTTGCTGTAATGCAATCACCATTTATGCCATATCACAATACAATGACATCCAAATCTAAGACAATATATAGTCCCATATCTGGATAACGCTATAATATCTTTATATTGCCCAGCCCTAGTTCTTAGTGCAAAAAACATGTACATGTTCACTCTAGCTAGCTCAGACTCCTTTTTGTCCCCAACCGCCATGTCAAAAGTTGAGAAGATAGCAACTGTTAAGGGTGAGAGGTGTTCATCACTCCACACTCAACTTTTAGACTGTTTTCAGTGCGCCAGTAGCACACTGCATTTTCCCGTACTATGAAGTGTGAACGCATTTAGGGCACTTGTGCACTCAAAATATTAAGTGTTTAGTACAGAAGTATGCGATATGAGACACACTGTGAGTCAGTTCGGAGTTAGCCTAGCTTAGGAGGAAACAGCTACATGGCTGTGTAAGTAAAAAAAGGGAAAAAAAGGCTTACTAACTGTCTCATGTATTTGCACCTGTACACAAAAAGAAATGTAAACACAACAATGTATGAGTTTTGTGGAAGTTGGGAGATGAGTTGCACAGAAGTGCTGGGTGTTATTTATCAAGAAATAGTTGCAGTACATAACGCCCCCTAATGGCCAAGACACATTGAACAAACATCAGAACTAGAGGCGATGAAAGCTATCTGTTGCGTTGCTACAGCCGACAGCAAACTAGCCTGCGTGAGAAGAAATAACTCCACACCAGCACGCCATGGTAGTCTGTATTCCTTATTCAAAGAGGGAAACCGGAAGACTGACAGGACAGATTAAAGATGCTAGTTGGACAGGCAGCACAATAACAACACAACCCAGTGCTGAAAGAACAGAGCAAATGTACCACTGAACAATAACGCAGACAATTACAATTTTTTTGTTTGAAAGAGCTCAGTGGCTAAAGAAATAATCTTACCCAATATAACAAGTTTGTTTTAATGTCAGCCCTTTTTTGACTTTAGTTGTGTTTTTGCTTTCCTCACTTCCATTTCTCTTTTCATGCGTTGAGCTGAACTGCCAATCAGTGATTTCATTCATCAGCAGTTTTCACTGTTGCTGACATCGATTCAACATGCTGAATCAGTTGAAAAAAGCAGATAAGGGCTGACTAGTGTTAGTGGTGCAGGACACATGGCAAAGGCCGGGGCAAGAGTCATTCACAGACGGCCCAACATTGACAGATGGCTGAATGTTGGCTTGGTTTATCAGGTCCCTAAAACCACAAATTGTTGTTTTTACATTTCTGTTCATTTACAGGTGAAACAAACAAGATACAATGTTGTGAATAAGGAATCATCAGAGGTGGACATGTTTTTACTTTGAAAAGAATCAAGCTCTTGGTTACCCTCCAGTTTTTACCCTACGCTAGGCTAACCCATGGATGTATAAAGAGAATAACAGCATTGGAGGTGGGGCCCCTTTCATTCCAATGAAAGTTGCTCATGGGCATGAAGCTGAAATTCAGGTAGTTCGACTTCTTGGGTATAAAGTTACCTGGAAAGTAGAAGTCCCTGGATTACATTGTTGGGCCCACAGAGTAGGCGCACTAAAGACCTTGCAGGCCAAGCAGCTAACTTCCAGTTTAGCCTTCCCCTAACTTGAACAGGAACAAAATGATTTAATCATGTGGCTCTTCGAGACTTTACAAATGTTATCGGACTGAATGGGTCAAATCCCATCAGTGAAAGGAGTCATTTCATGGGGACTGTGATGCTCTAAAAATATATTCACTGATTTACAGATGTCTCTTCCACAGTGTAAATCTGTAGGGGAAAAGAAAGTCTTCTTGACAGGGCTGGAAGTTGAGGTCACACAGTTTGGACATTGTGTCAAATTAGTTTTTAAAGTCTGGCACACTTTCTTTGGGTTTGGGCTAACCACATCCTGATTCCATTTCTGTACTTAAAGCCCAGTTCAGACCAAAGATTCGCAACGAGATGAGTTGAAACAGGCAACTGTTTGCATTGCGCCTTTTTGCAACGCTCTAAAAACCTGCCCTTTCACACCATTGCAGCTAGATGAGATGTTGTATCATCTCTATGCAACAACTCTCTGTATTTCCATTCTGATTTCCAACTTTTCAGGCTTATTCTGTGGCTGAATATAATTTGTAGCTTCTTAAAATATGAATGAGGATAGTGGGAGAGAGATACTGGCTACAGTTGCATTTGTAGGAGTGATGAAATGGCGAAAAAGGAACAAAACAAGCATCAGATGGGCTGTATTCATGATCAGTATGCCACAATGATATAAATAAGCAGCGGCAATTAATCAGTCCATTAAAATGTGTGTGCCTGAGGTGCATAAGCATATACAGCGAGCAGCACTGGCACACGTTGAGGACAGAAATAGAGAGCTTAGCAGGGACGGAGCACCTGCTGCAGTAAGTGCAATTTTGCGTCTGCGGTCATTTTGATTTGACCAGCTGACTTCAGTACAAAGCGATTGGCTGTAGAAACAGGCAACATGCTTTTTGTTTTAAAACCAGGTGCCGGAGATTCGACCAGCTGAGTTGCAGGAGACACCATCAGCCAACTTGAGTCCTATTCAGACCGGCCAGTTCACACCGCTGTAACTTTTCTCTGCAACATTTGTTGTTGTGTCTCGTTGTGAATCAGTGATCTGAACTGGGCGTTAAACACAACATATAACTGTTATCAATCTGCTCATCAAAAGCAAACAAGTATATTTTTCCCACAATATTGAAGTTTTTATATGTGATTAATACATTTTTAATTCATGTTTAAGAATTTTGCTAGTATCTGCTAGCTGCTCAGTGTTGACAGTTTTGTTCCTTTATTTGAGCCAACTCTTTTGCAGCTGCTAAGTGTTATGGAGTACAAACTGGATCTAAAGGTTCAACAGTTTACTGTGTCAACAAACCTACCTTATCAGATCTTTCACTTTTACGGGAATGTTGCTGGATGTTACTGTATGGACAAGTTTTTTTTCAGGGATTGCTCCAGTTTAGTTCTTCTACAGTTTAATATTAATAACCAACAGCCAATTCTCCAGTGGAGCTCAGGGATGAATTGCTATGAGGAGGTTTGTGCCACAGCTGCAGGACACCAACCTTCAACCAGAGGACCAAGAAACAAACTTTCTGTAAAATCCTGTGAACTCAACTTAAGTGCTACTGTGAGAGTTTGATGCTTTGCAAAAAATTCCTGGAGGCTGAATGGTTTCCACAATAGTGTGTTTTCATGTTGCTGTGGACAGAAGCTCTACAGACGAACATGAACTTTGACTTCTAACTCATCACTCCTTCTACACATTCGTCTTATCAGTCAAATCAATTCATCCAGTGCTCTATTTGTTCATGGCTGATCATTTTAACTTTGGTCTGTCAGTTCAATTCAAACTTTATTTCAGACTCACAAGAGGGTCGATAACAGTTTAACAGTTTAAAAGTTTACATGTTTTCTTTCTATTTATGACAAGAAGCCTTTGACTATATTATGCACTTATGCCATATACCCAGGTATTGTAAAACATGTGAACTTGCTGTTCACACTGAGTTTCTAATTATTTTTATCTATTGTTGGAAAATTAAGAATAGGTTCATAATAACAGATTTATGCTATTTACTTCACCCTTTAAAGGAGCTCTATACAACACTCAGAGCATTAATGTAGCATCAAACCACTATTTGCTATGTAAAGCTAAAGTGAAGTCATGGTGTCCTCAGCAGAGAGTGAAGTCATGCTCCCTCTGTGTGTGTTGTAATCTGAGCTTCTCTGTTCTTTGCTGTGGTACGTGGTCTGGCTGTGCATGCATGGTAGTGCATTTGAGTCCCTGTCTGTGTATCCCAATGGCTAGCTAATCGTTGCCCCTCTGTGAGGAACACATACAGCGGTTACCGCTGATTTCAGGACACTATGCTTCTGGTGGACGCCACACTATGGGCAGCACCCACCCTCCAGTTCCCCTCCACGTAAACAGTCAGTACGTTTATATGACATTAGAGAAAATCGATATATTGTGTTAGCCCGACTAAAACCGGACTTTTTATATACATGTAAACATGTTGGTCCGACTGATATCGTACTTAATCGAATACCCAGATAATGTTATCGGGAGTCAAATTACTCCTACATGTACACAGTCATCAGACTGTAACTGGTCGAGGCGATCTGCACATGCTCCACAGCTTCCACCTCGGGCCTTGACCTGGAAGTCAGATAGCTTTAAATGCATAACAGAGGAAGAAGCCAGTAACAACACGGTGAAATCTACATCCAGAGCTGTGCGTTTTTGGATGGACGAGGAGACAGAGTTTATGCTGTATCAGCTGAAAGAGTTAAATGTTTTTTTGAAAAATAGATGGGAGAAAAACATGGAATGGAGATTGTTTGATCTTTGATGTAATAGGTCAACCAAAAAAAGTGCAATACTACAAGCTGAAAGGGGGCATATCGCAACCTATCGTAGCAGAGTCAGACATACTTCGGTCAATAAATCGATTCCCCTCCTGTGCTTGTATACTGGGACAAGGACAGTAGTCCAATTAAATGGCCTAGTGGAGTTAGAACTGTCGCTCCACTTAATTGTGCATGTAAACATACTGACTGTTAGTTCTGTCAACACAGGTGCCATTGTTAGTGCTGTAAACACTGCCATGTTGACAGCCATGTGGTGACAACCTCTGAATCATAAATATGTTCTGAATATCGCAAAGAGCTCCTTTTAAAAAATAAGAATGAATGTATTTCTTAGCCGCTTGGGCCTTTCTGAGC